CTCCGCCTTAACCTTATCAATTTAAATTACGTTGTATCTGGTCGGATAGTGTTTATAAAAAAATATAAGGAGACGGCGGATTAATGATAAAGAGTTACCTAGCTACAAAAGATCAGAGCCAGTGAAAAATGTGGACATATGTGTATTATACATTAACTACTTGGATAGATTCGTCGATATAAAGATATATTACGGATTACAAATGTGTCGAGTTTTGTGATTGGATAACAACACAGAGATGTCAGTATATATTCCGGAAACTGCCGGGGTATATACGACGTTTTTTCCCCAAGTGGAACCTCAATAACGTCATCATGACGAATGTTGCTATGTGACGTAGTCAAAACTATACAGAACAGTGAAAGAATGGCAGAGGCTCACAAAAAGGAAATAATTATGAGGATCCGTCAATAATACGTTTTTAATTTAAAATCTCCCGATTTACATATCAAATATTAAATTAATGGTTAAAAGTGTTATTATAAACTATTGCATACACGATAAAATTATTGTTTGGTTCAATTTCGTCAAAAAAGGCTTAAAAATCATTGATGTATTATTGGCCTGCAAGTCAAGAGGTAACGCATTTAAAATCCACAGTTACCTCTTGATGTTTTTGAGAGTGAATTTTGTTTGTACCTTACGGGTGCATTTCCAACCTCTCCTCCTTTCATTATATAGAGACAGTTTTCTCTTGGTCTCTTATTGTAACATATATATGTTTTATCATATTCAAATACCGTCAATAACCCAAATTCGAGGTAGATTGAGTGAAATTGGAAAAAAAAACAGCACTCATTATGTCCCCAAAATCCCACTCCTGCTTGACATAGTCTAAGCCTCCCGCTGAAAATCAATGTAAAATTGTGGGCTTATACTACAACTCCTTCCTAAAGAATCACTATACCATTATTTGGAAATCATTATTTATTAGATCTGGATCTTTGCTACATCTTTAAATACCAGAATAGTCATCTGTTCTGTGAATTCACCAATTGTGTCCCATTTTCAATATTTACATGTTGACTGAAGCTTGAATCGCACGAACAGCGATATATGTATTGCAGGAGAGTTCCTGTGATTCCTTAAAATATTTTTGTATCTTCTTTATAGATATATGAGATTTGAAAACCACTCAACTACTGTTGTTTCTAATTTATTACTTAAAAATGATGAAAACACATTTAACTGATTCCTTGTCCGGGTTTGGATAAATGTTTGGGTTGTTAGGCTTTGTTTTTGGATTTATCAGCTGTTCAACTTTGCATTAGGTTTTGAATATTCAAATATTTTGGTCCCGATCATCACTGAAGAGACATTTATTGTCGAAATGTGTACCGTTTATGTTATTACGAACTCATTAGTTTAAGGTTTCTAAGCAAATATTAAATGCATGTGTACTATAATTTCAAACCTGCTGGCCGAGAAAATGGTTGACTAGTGAGTGATTATATTTCTTTATCCTTTAAAATGCTAGAAAACAGCTTTGACACTAGTATACTTAAAAACTTATTAAAAAATTACTGTATAGTGTTATAGAACTATTAGTAATAACATCACATTATGTTTAGTTGAGCAATACTTCTTTTTTTCCGTTTATTGATAACGTAGCTGAAGAATGAAAGATAGCCTAGACAACTTCAAGTTCTATTTTCAATATATGTTATACTTCTAAGGAAGACTAGATGCAATTATTCTTGTCAATAATGATGTGTTTTATGTCCGTAATGCTTTATATTTTTGTGATAGATATTTCATGTGGCGATGATTCTTCCTTCAGAGTTTCATTTACTTTGTTCCAAAGTGTGGAAAAATGAGAACAATTCCATTACAGCAGGTGCATATCTTTAAAATACTTTCAATCATCCTGTGAAATTTCAGGTATCTAGATTGAAAACTGCAGGAGGAGTTGATTACACAAAACTTGTACGCTCTTTCATAGATTTTGCTGAAAAATGACTATGTTAAAAATGAGAACAAATTCCTCAATGAAATTTTATAACAGTAGGTCACAACTTCAACATACATGTATGTGCAATCTTCTTGTGAATTTTCAAGGATCTGGGTTGAAAACTTTACTCATCCGACTTCGTTCGACCCGGTCAAAAATGTTCCAGTTCCAAACAGGTAAAGATCATAATGAAAATAAGTAGTGATTTATATAAAATATTTACTATAATGCAGGTAATTTTCAAATGCAGCCGCTGTACACGCACTGCCTGTTAACATCTGGTGTCTAGCTCCTCTTTTTATTGGCGCTTATGCGTGCTGTATACACTACCGTTTATATTCATTAACACTAATCCATAGAGGTTGTTTTCATCTTGAAAAAACATTTTTGAGATAGAGTTGATACTAATAGTAATATCACTCTACCATATTTATGTACTCTACCTTATTATTGTTATGCTTTTTCTTATTACGATTAAGACGCGTGTTTAGATGTAATCAAATTTACCTATTGCACAATTCTCTGTCTTAATCTTAGCAAATTCAATGACGTTTATCTGGTTTTATCTAGTTGGAAAGAATTTTTATAGATCTAGTGGCATATATTTCATGCATGTTCAGGACGAGAACAAAATTATCAATTAAAACAATAATAATAAATAAATAATGGCCAACTACGGACCAACCAAAGAGATTTTGAAAATGTTCCTAAAGTGAAGAGAGCGGTAGTACTCTCTACACGAGGCATTGTATTTTACCTCCCCACTGTGACTTGACGTGGCTGCAAATTCATACATCTCGCACACCCAAACGGACACCAACCAAGTGTCTAAATGTCTGTCGGAAGAAGACCAAAATTGACCATATTTTCCATACCCCAGTCACCATCATTATCTAAAGTAGGTTTATTTCTTAAACCCTTGTTATCATGATACTAAATATCTGGTTAGATTTTATTAGAATATTAGAACATGTTTTGCTGATTATTTTTGCAATTTAAAGTTTCTCTCTTTCTATTATACTTTTCAAGATAATAGGCAAAAATGAAAAAAAAATGGTAAAATTTGTCATTAAAGGGCAATAACTCCTATAAGAAGTCGTCTGACAGTTTTGACGAATATGGACAATTGGTAGAACTCAACATTCTGAACATTTCAGCTCCCCGTCAGATTTCCTCTATTTATAACGGTTTTCAAAATAATAGACAAACCTTGCATTTTACCCCTATGATCTATTTTTAGCCATGTCGGCCATCTTGGTTGGCAGGCGGGGTCATCGGACACATTTTTGAAACTAGATACCCCAATGATGATTTTGTTAAATTGGCCCCAGTAGTTTCAGAGGAGAAGATTTTTGTAAAAGGTAACTGACGACGACGGACGACGATGGACGACGGACGCCAAGTGATGAAAAAAGCTCCTTTGGTCTTTTGGGCCTGGTGAGCTAAAAAGGAGATATGAATTACATTCAAGACATAATCAGAAAGTACATGTCTCTTTATCTATGATAAATGGAATTTTCTAAACTATGTATTCTTTTAGTTTACATTCATATTTGCGTGATGATCTCTGATCATGATTTTCAGTCATTAGTTTAGTATGACCAAGTTAGTGTAAACAATATTTTATTTTGAAAATAATAACGTAAACATTACAGTATGACAGTTTTATTAGGATTGGAAAACAAGTGACCAAGTTTAAACTGTGATACTGATTACTAATGATTCTTTTTTTAATTCAATGATGAAATCTATTGTTTGCCTTTAGCAACCTACAGATCCATCAAAGAGTTTTTGCAAATGTTCCTGTTCCTAACGTGCAATGAGAGGTGCTACCCGCTAAACGAGGCATCGTATTTTACGTCCCTATTGTGAGTTGGTTGCCATTTGATATCGTTCGCCTCTCTTTAAGCATTGGTCATTCTAGAAATGTATAAGAAGACAATAACTTTTAAAACATTTGAAAAAACACATGTTGAACCAATAGATTGAACAGGAATTCATACATTTCAGTGCAACAGCAATTGAAAAAATATCAAGGTAGCAGAATGCAATTTCGTATCCAAAATTTCATGTCTTTTTGTGCATTTTAAATCATTTATTTGTTTGATAAGTTTGTTTGATAAGTTTGTTGCATATTTGTTATTTTCATTTACTAGTACTGGGTCAATACTGTTGCTAGTTGACTATAAGTCCCCGATGGTATCATCAACTCAGTAGTCATAACATACTATTCTAAAAGATCCCGTTTATAAATTAATTTTAAAAATCCAAACATATTTAGATACTAAGGTTTAACTGCCTCAGGCAATGTTGACCCTAGATAAATTTGGCTTTTATTTTAGGTCCCTTTGGTCATATAACTCTTAACGTTTCTACATATTCATACAAACCTGGCGTTCAAATGTTTAAATTTGAGCTATGCTGACGAATGCACTTCGGACGAACGAAATTTATAAAGTGTTATTATCTTAACTGGGTCGAAACCGCTTCTGGTGGACTATTAGTTCCGATGTATCGTTAGCTCAGTAGTCATTAATTCTATACTGACATGATTTATAACCTACAATCATAAAATACCCCGTTGAATAATTAAGAAATTTTTAGAAACTAAGGTTCAAATTTCCTCAGCGAAAGTTAACCTTAAATAATTTGGCAATTCATTGTAGGACCTTTTGGTTAACTAGCTCATAATGTTTCTACGTATTTATTCATTGCTTGCTTTCAAATGTTCAGGTTTGAGCGTTTCTGATGAAGGTAAGAAAAGCGCGCATCGGACACACGAAACCTATACGCTATAAAGTGTTAGTATCAATAGTTAAATTGAGCAACAAAAGAATCATGTAATTTTTGGAAATCAAGCAAAACAAATATACAATATTAAAAATTATAAGACAAAAGAGAAGAAAATCGACATAAGAAGTTTTAAGGTCAAATGTTGCTATATACTGTTATTTCCTCAATAGAACCGTAATGTAATATTTTATTTATTCTGGTAACATTTAAGAAAGGTTAACATTTAATGTAGGTTTTAAAGTCACGTGAGAGAGTAGTTTCCGGTTTACACCCTACATCATGTTTGGGACACACACCATTTCCTGAATCCAAAACAAAGGTTAGACATTTAAACACTACTTTTTTTTATAAAATTGAAAACTAATCACCCACATTTAATGTTTTATAAACTTATATAGATATATATTACAGAAACAAATCAAGAGAATTATGGTAAAAGCTAGGGTTGCGACATTTTACTATGATATCTTGTAAAACTTGTAACTGAAACATTTTATATATATATACATATATATATACACGTCTAACCATGTGACAACTTTATGACAGACATTCTCCATTGGATAACACGTGGTTATACAGGGCTAACACCATATATATATAATTTGTTTCAAATTTAGCCCAAAATGTTAGATCTGCAAATTTGCGTTACCAAATTTTTGTTCTTCCCTCAGCGGGATTCGAACCCTTGCGTCTGTGACATCGTGGCAACACCGCTTGCACCGTGTCCAGCTTCCTAGACCACTCGGTCACCTATGCTACATAAAAATATAGCTTTCGGTGGTCGATGTAATGCCTTTCCTCGTCGGCTTTATCAAGGGTTGTAACACAGTACATGGTGTATAGTGGCAAGTAGATAGTGTACCTTTCAGATTAGCTATTTTGTCTGTCGTAAAGGATGATGAAGTTAATTACCATGCCGCCACATCAAATTTTTAATTTTATCATACACGTCTAAACATGTGACAACTTTATGACAGACATTCTCCATCGGATAACACGTGGTTATACAGGGCTAACACCATATATATATAATTCGTCTCAAATTTAGCCCAACAATGTTAGATCTTCAAATTTGTGTAACAGGTTCGTTTGCGATGTCAATAACAACAAACTCAGTTCTAGGGTTCTGATGATTTAATACCAGTTTAAAATAAACTCTGAAATACAATATCACATTCGTAAATAACAGTTCTGTTTTATAAAACACAAGTATATTAAATTACACAATATAACAATTTGTAATAGTAAAATACCATACTCTTTATTACTGTATACTACACTACGATGTGTATAATGTATTCACTACGTAATATCAGATTTCACGTGTACTTTCATAACACATTGTGGTACACTACACAAGAATGTAACCCTTGTTAATAAATTGTGTACTATATAATTTTTACTGGTTTACTATTCGTACGGTACAAAATTAAAGTTAAAACTGCATAAATAACATTAAAATAATAAGAATATAAGATATTATTTGTTCTTATCATACTATTATATTACAACAATAATTTTAAAAGTTGTAAATATTATTTTTATAAAGACTTATCAAGTCAATATTTTACATATGCTTAAAACCGCACATCCAAAGGGACGTATCCATAACGTTTTGTTTACAACATTACATAATTTGAATAAATTTAACTCTTACCACTTGTGGAGTGAGTTTTACTGGCAAGGAAATAGGCACAGCATACAATTTACATACTCTGCATATTACTACATCAATAGAGTCCTAAAACCAAAATATAATCATAAACATTCGGACTCGTAAGATATTAAAATATATAATCTGACAAAATATCTCAAATTCATTCATAGTTATACTTCTATCATTACAGTGTATAATATAAGTCTACTAATGAATATCAACATTAACACTTTTCCTTATTTTGTTTGATATGCCGCCATTTATGAAATATCACTGAATTATCTGTGTCAATAATCAAATAGCTATGCAAATTATCTTATCCTATATTCTTTCGTGACAAATAAACGGTAGGCATTAAAAAATATGTAGCACAAAGCTAAATGAAATATTCTCGGGTACATCTATCATACTAATGTAACAAACAAACTTTACGAGGAGAACGAAGTCAGACAATAGAAACTTTCTTAAATTTATCATTTACATGTGAAAATATTAATTATATAACAAAAAAGTTAACTTACATCAATCAGTAAATTTTTTGTCTCCACAATAAATGAAAACAATAACTATAAAGTATACAGGTGAACATAAATCGGGACACACAATTTATGTGACTGCCATTTTCAAGTTCCCGTTCAAATCTACCTGGGTCAATACAAAGCAATCTAAATTGACCACGAAATCACAATAACCAATCAAATACGATATTTTAAGTAAACGAACCCTTCTGAATATTCATGAAATCACTATAAAAAGTAAAGTGTATATTTGCAAATAAATAATTATATTCCTTTCTCAAAATTCAAGATGTAAAGTTTTATAATAAATACACACAATTAATTTAAAGTATTTAATAAAGATATTTTTACTATTATTTAAAGAGACGTAAACATGACACTACTACATTCTCCCCTCTGTTGAAGAAAATGACTTCCATGTCATTTGGTCTTTCTCCCCCTATTTTGGAAACTTGTCGTTCCCGTCAAGCTGTTTACATTAGCAACTGTTCTGAATAATCTTGATGATCGCCCTTGACAGTTCAATCTCTTGTCCTCTAAATGGCCTGACTTTCCAACCAATGTACTTTTTCCATCCAATCTGGTTTAGTGGTGGCCTGCTTTGCTGTTGTAACATAATCCTGCAGGTACTTCGGTGGTTGTCTATTCCTCTGAGGTCTAGCTAATGTCGTGGTTTCTGGTATTTGACGTGGTGGTGTAGGTAAATATCTACGTCTTCTTTCTATAACCGGTTGTACTGTTGGAGTTTCATTATCTGTTGGTTCATCTGCCATTTCACCTAGAGATAGATCATCCGTCAACGCACTGCCATTATCTGGTTCTAAAGCGTCAGCTTCAATATCCTGACCAGTCGCTGCAGGTTCAACATCCTCTGTTCCAGGGGTTGGTTCTCCAGCAATTTCAATGTCTGAAGGTAAAGCGTCGTCTGCTAAACCATTAACCTGGCTACTACCAACGGCATCATGCATGGTCGTCACCAGTGTTGCTGATAGTTACATCATATATCTCAGGTCTTTGCACCATATCTGCTTCACTGCCAGTGTTGCCCGGTGTACTCCTTCCTGTCACCATAATCCAATACTTCTGCTCCGACTCCTCATCTGATTCCGATGCAGTCATCTTTTCAATGCTGTCCCCAACAGACTTCGTCGGTGGTCGTCCAAACTTTTTAGGCTTTCGCTTCTGTCTAGGTGCAGAAGTTATCTCAGACTCGTCAGTCTTTGGCAGAAATCCAATCGGAAGTAGATGATTGCAATGAAGTGTCTTCTTTCTTTCAGTTCCGTCTTCTTTCTGGACCACATACACAGGTATCTCTTTGTTAGACTGATTAACAATCTGGTATGGATCTTCTTCCCACTTGTCAGCTAGTTTGTGTTTCCCGTCATAGGCCAATATCTTAACTAGGACTCTGTCGCCGGTTTGTAAGATTTCTCCTCTAGCTTTCCTGTTATAATTGTACTTCTGTCTGTCATTCCCTATATTTGAGTGTTTGATGACAACTGGTATGCCTCTTTCAATCTTTTATGTACGGTTTCAATGTAATCGTCACTGGTTGCTTTTGTTCATTATCAGGAAGGTTGAAGGCGATCTCAATCGGTAGTCTTGGCTCTCTCCAAAACATAAGGAAGTAAGGTGAGTATCTAGTAGTTGTCTGTCTGGTGCAGTTGTAGGCGTGGACCAATCCAGCTATGTGTGCTTTCCAATCTTTTTTCTGCGTTGTTTCCGGTGTACCTAACATACTCAGTAAAGTTCGATTGAAACGCTCAGTATTCCCGTTGCCCACAGGATGGTAAGGTGTAGTACGTGATTTCTCCATGCGAGTGATATTACATAGTTCTTTCTTTAATTATCTTGGATTCAAAGTTTGCACCTTGGTCGCTGTGTATTCGTTTTGGAAGGTCGTGTACTACGAAATAGTTGAAAAAAGTTTCTGCTGTTGTCTTTGCTATCTGATTCCAAGGTATACCGGGTAAAGTGATCGGTGATGACAAGAACATTCTCAAAACCTCCTTTGGATCTTTCCAGTGACAAATAATCCAAGTATACTACCGTGTAGCGGGTTATTTTCGCGGGTGTAAAATTTCGCGATTTGGGGGCAACAAAGTATACGAAAAATTTTGGCGGTTTTTATTTTGGTGGATTCTTAAATCACAATTAAATATTTTGGTGGATACTGAAATTGTTGCAGTTAAAAAGTTGTAAAACTTGACAAACAAGTGTCTATTGTTATGGTTGATTAATAATTTTTTTTATCGAAATTACCTCTTATTTATTGATTAGTTTCTGATACAGTTAATCATTAGAATACCACTAACTTAGATAATTATTTGTTACAGGTATTCAAACGTCTTGTAAATTTTACGATTGATTAGATTTAACCGGACCTTTGATGTACTTACTAATTAGGTTACAAAATTATCTTGAGTGTTTACAACTCTTATATAGTTTGACACTAATTAATATGGGGTAATTACCTGATTAGAGTACCTTACACTCTTATTCTAATTGACACTTATTAATAAGGGTATACACACCTGACAGTCATTTTATAAAATACATTAATGTACAATGCCCTTTGGCATTTATCTTGTTAAAACTAACATATACCGTTATTGACCTGCCAACAGGGAAAACTAGATCGTTTACAAAATCCTTTCACCATGTTAACTTCGAAACTACCAAACGTATGCATAAATTTTCGCGGAATTTATTTTCGCGATTTTCGTTTATCCGCCAAAATAAGCGAAAATAAACACCCCGCGAAAATAACCCGCTATACGGTAGTTCAAGTGGTTGGTATGTTTCAATGTTAACTAGTGGGCCCTCTAGTTGGTTTTTTCGTCTTATGCATCTATTGCATTGCATAATCCACTGATCTACATCTCTGGTCATCCCATATCATACAAATCTATCTCGTATAAGTGACAGTGTCTTATCTCGTCATTGGTGGCCCATGTCATCGTGAAGTGCTTTCAGTACTTTCGGAACGCAAGTTTCTGGTAAAACAAGCTGTTTAACTGGTTGGCAATCTAATGTAGCTTCTCTGAACAATACTCCATCTTTCAGTTGCAACTTGGCGAAGTTATTGATGAACCATGTATTCTCTGGTGATCTTTCTCGTTGTTCTTTTGTTGGCTTTCGGTGTTCGGATACCCAGTAAATCCATTCTTTCATGCTGTAATCACTCTTTTGTTCTGATTTAATGTCAACCAAGTGTTGTGCTGGTAAAGGATGTATCATCTACGAGTGCAGTAGTATTCAGTGACAGACTATTTACGAAAGGTTGAGTATGCTGTAGATTGCAGATGGCTCTTACAGAAGTAGCAGCTAAGTTGGATGGTGTACGTTCAAGTAACTCAGGCAATCTTGATAAAGAATCAGCATCGGCATTTTTGGAACCTGGTCTTTAGATGATGTTAAAGTTGTATGATGCTAATGCTGCAATCCAACGGTGACCAGTTGCATCTAATTTGGCTGATGTTAGCATGTACGTTAGAGGATTGTTGTCTGTCAGTACTGTAAAGGTGTTTCCATACAAGTAGTCGTGGAATTTCTCGGTGACAGCCCATTTTAATGCCAAAAATTCGAACTTGTGCACTGGGTAGTTTCGCTCGGTCTTACTGAGCCCTCTACTGTCAAAGCTATGACACGCTTCTTGTTGTCCTGTACTTAATATAATACAGCTCATAAGCCTTGCATGGATGCATCGGTGTGTAACTCAAACTGTTTATTGTATCGTGGAAAACCAAGTAGAGGTGGTGAAGCTAGTGCTGTTTTAATTTAAGTGTTAAAGCCTTTTCTTGAAAATCTCCCCATATTCATGATTGACTGTTTGGATCTCGGTGGAGGCATGAGGCATTAAGTCGGTGAGTGGTCTGGGTATTTTCGAAAAATCTTTGACAAACTTCCGGTAGTATCCTACAAAACCAAGGAAGCGACGAACTTCTTCTGGTGTTGTCGGACTTGGCCAGTTTGTTAATTTGTCTATCTTTGCAGGATCTGGTTTTATGGTATCTTTGGAGACGATGTGACAAATATATTTGACTTTCTATTGAAGGAAACAGCATTTCTTTGGTTATAGTTTATTTCCGCTTTCTCTTAACCTCTTCAGTACTTTCTCTAATCGTTCAAGATGTTCCTCGTACGTATCGGAGAATATGATAAGATCGTCCAGATAGATGAAGCATATGTCAAGATAGAGGTCTTCTAGGATCTCTTCCATTAGCCTCTGATATGTTGCTGGGCTGTTGACTAGTCCAAACGGAAGGCGGTTAAATTCGTAAAATCCTATCGGGCTGACAGTGAAAGCTGTTCTCTGCTTGTGGGACTCTTCTACCTCTACCTGATTGTACCCGCTCTTCATATCAAGTACTGTATACAACCTGTTACTAGTACCTCCTAGAGCGTCTAGTATCTCTTCGCTGCGTGGTAAAGCGTAGGAATCTTTCACGGACCGTTGATTAAGTTATTTGTAATCAATACACATTCTGAGTTTCCTATCCTTCTTTCGACAAAGCACCACATTAGATGACCAAGGTGAGTGTGAGCGTCGTATTATTCCAGCTGTGAGTAGTTGTTGTAGATGTGTACGAACTTCAGCAAACAATGCTGGTGATATACACCGATGTCTCTGCTTGAACGGTGTACGTATCATCAGTAGATCAATTCTATGACGAACTGCATCTGTGTGGCCAATGTCGGTGTCTGAAATACTAAATACATCTCTGTACTGTCAAAGTAGATTTTCTAACTGTTCATTGCTCAATAAGTATGTTGGTAAGTTGACATCGTTCAATACATCATAATCTGTATCATCTGGTATATCTATATTAGCAATTGAGACAGGTTGCAGCTCACAAAGGATAGCGTTAGGTGAAACAATTATGGTTCTCGTTGTTACTGATGTGTTCAGGTACTAATCTGTTGTGTCTGTATTCATAGTTGACAAGTGTTGGAGCAATGTCTAAGTCTTTAGGTACTGCTGCCTTGTGTGTTGGCTGAGGTATTCCACATACAGGGTTGTACGGCAATTCATGGTCCATATAACCTTGAAACATGATATATCTATTCGGTGGAATACGAAGAGTCTTTCCCTCTGCGCATTTGAACAGTGCTAATCTTTTGATTCTCTTGTTGAGTTCTTTCTCTCTAAGTAAAAGGCACCGAAACGTCATATAGCATGGAGTGAACAAATTGGCGTTTTGCAGAAATCGATTACCAAACCGTTGTTTTACATTATCCATTGCTCTATTCAATACGTTGGTAACAAGTAGCAAAGGTACACTCTTGTTGTAGGTGCTATCAGGGACTACAAGTAGTAGGCAATGTTGTGGTATATCTGATGGTGATGCTCCAGGTAACTCTAAGTCGACAGTGGTGTAGCCATGATATGGTAGGTTCTCTCCATCAGCACATTCGATGAAAGGATTCGCTGACGGTGCTCACTGTGGAACCTGTGTCTAATAGTGCTGTAGTTTGGATACCATTTATCTTGACAGTGACTTCATTGGGTTTGCCTAGTAGTTGATCAGTGACATCTCGTGTTGACTGTTGCTGTTGGTATGCACATGTTCTATCCTCAGCGTTGATCTTCTAGAAGTTGTAAGCTTGTCGTGAATGGTCTAGTCGTACACGGTAACAAATGGCTATGTGGTTAAGTCCTCCGCATTGATAACATACGATAGGATATCTTAGTGATGGAATAGGAGTGGGAGCAGGTGAGTAGTTTTGATCGGCTTGGTTGTCAAAGTAGTTGCCCCAGTAGAGTCGCTGTCTACGACGATGGCGTTTCTTCTTTGGACCATACTGTTCCATGATAGATTGGAAGAATGTAGTAACCTAACTTAATAAATTAGTGCCAACTGTGTATACAACCTTCCCTTATATTCAACGACAAAACAGAAAAACAAAATTATCTATATGTCTATTTAGGTGTTTCAAAAACAAACAAAAAAATGTTATAATTCTCTTATATACAACTATTAACTACATTTCCACCACACTAGAGTATCATAATCACAATAGATCAAAATGGAAAAATTTTAATCAATAACCAATACTCAATTCTACAATAACTAAAATACACGAACAAAATATCAAATACACATGGGTGTGTATTGGTTAATAAATATTACCAAATATTAAAATGATTGTACATCATATGCAAATGAGTGCACCTTAAACTGTCACTTGTTTCAAATCTATTTAATCATACTATAGATTTTTTCAAGCTGTGTCAATTTCAACACAGAGTAAATGTACTTTATACTATAACTGTATACGATAGTGTTGCTTTGTGTATAAAAATGTACTTTTAATGTGTAAAAGAAATGTCAATGAATTAAGCAAGTACGTCTGCACTTTCATATAAACAATCAATCATCAAATGATGATAATGTGCAATGAAAAAACTTTTTTTCAGTGTGCTTATGTAAAATGTTCCAGTGTGAAAATGTCAATATGTAGGACGCCAAAATTTTTTTTCAAAGTCCAAAAGTGTATGTATGAATGAACAATGTCAATGTGTAAAAATGATTAAGTGTAACTAAGTTCAAGTTGAACGGTGGTATACCAATAACACTACATGTATGTATGCTATCTATCAATCAATGTGTGTTGCTGTAGTAAGTAAGTGTTGGTGTTACAATGCAATATATTAATCGACCAATATATGCTATCTTAAGTTTCCTTTATGTAAACAAATTAATGTAGGTGTAAAAGAAAATTTTCAAAGTTTGTAAGCAAACTATTTCAGTATACAATTATGATATATATGTAAGTAAAAAGCCTACCTTAAAAAACTAAATTACAATTCCAATTCAAATCACAATAATATGAAGTAATTCAAACGACAAAAGTACTTTTTTCAATTCGGAAAATCAAAAAGTCTAAGTTACTAAAAGTAACTTCCGATTTCACAAATCTTCAAAACTGGAAAAGGTAAATGTTAATGTAAATAAACACATGTGGACATCAATGGCTATAAACATTAGCACGTGCATCTTTGGACGTCTGCGTTTTGTTGATAAACATACACACCACGTGGTCTCATCGGTCGTCTGCCTCGATGGTCACTGAACACACACACAGTGGGAAATCTAGTGACAAAATATTACCTCCCCTGTAAACACTGGCAACTAGATCTTCTCAATGTTTGTTCCATTTTAGCAAGGACGCTATCAATTATGAATTCACGGAAAAACGTTCTGGTAAATAGTGAAAAAAGAAATAAATTGAAATAAAAACAAACCTTCCTCTCAATGTTATCATTTCCCCTCTTAAGTAGCAAATGACGAGTACAGCAGGCTATAGAAGCTCGGTGTAAAACTGGTTTAAAATGTTGCTATGCAAATTCCTGAAGTACAAACTTTAATTTATTTTTTTACTGTCTGTATTCCTCTCTGGAACATGCTAATTTTTCGTACATATGTATAGCTAGATAAGAGAAAGTCAGGAAAAAAATTCCAAAGGAATCGATTGATATGCAGCAAAGATTGACACTTTTGAAATTAAGTTACTAAGCAAAATCAAACAGACCTTATCTCGATGTAAACATTGAATGTGAATAGATCGAAAAGACCGCAAAAACCTTACAAAATTCGAGACGACCTTTTCTTAAAATTGTATACAAAATAGTAGAAAGATACCTACTTTATAAAAAAAAAAGGTTATCTTTAATTTTTTAACCTGCACAGAAATACTTTTAAATGTTTATATTGACGAAAAGACAATAGTTCTCTATTGTATGTACATGTGACAAGAGCAGACCGGTGTGCTCGATAACTTAAGGAGTGTAAAAATAAGCATAGTTTGGGAAATTGTAACATGCTAAGGAATTTTTGGAACACTCAGAAAATTGGTGACGCGAAAGAACTTTCGATTTTGTATGTTCATGATTTTTTCCAATTTTTTTTATCAATATGCAGCAAAGATTGGCAGTTTTTAAATTTCAGTTTTACAAGCTTCAAAAGTAATTATCTCGATAAATACTGAACATAAAACATCGTGTATTTTCATGTAAATTTTTAATAACACAGTTTAACAAATAATTTCTTTAGAATGTACAATTATCATTTAAAAATAACTTTTGATCAGTATCGTCACCGGTATTGTTTTATTATTGACTTTCTCGACTCTATCATAAGAAGAGTGAATTTTCTTTTGTTTTCGTTCACTGGAAATCCCACTGCACACAAATATCGGTAACTCTAATCTGAGTTGACTGTGCCATCAATCCATAAACTACGTCAGCGCCTATTTGTAACCGGGTCATTTGTGATGTCAATAACAACAAACTCAGGTCTAAGGTTCTGATGATTTAATACCAGTTTAAAATAAACTCTGAAATAACAATATCACATTCGTACATAACAGTTCTGTTTTATAAAACACAGGTATATAAAATTACACATTAGAATATAGCAAAGTGCTCTCGACCAATGAAATTGTAGGATTTGGTGTTTCTTAATTGTGAAGAATGAATGTAAATCATGTTCTTAATAAGGGATTATCCTACTGTTGAGGCCTACTTACAGTTCAAAACAAAGAGTTTCTATGAATGAGTTACAACTGCCCTGAATCACATTTATCAGATTGAAAGGATGTATCGCACAGTAATTGAAACTGGCTATAAAAGTTGAATTTTGAAACAAACAAAAAAATCAAAATAAGTTGAAGTTTACTGGTGCAGTAAAATTGGTACCTTTAATGTTATTATGAAAATATTAATAACTTCAAACTACTAAAAAATGTAACAATATCAAAGTAATGCAAAAAAAAAGAAAAAAAAGTTTTAAAACAAAATAATAACCTAAATCTTTAGCTTTCCAAAATCTGATTACTGGACCAGCAGTTGGGAAGAATTGTTATTTCCAATATGCCGATAAAATGAAATAAAACAGGAATTAATAATCTAAGTTTTGAATATATTTAAAACTTTTAAAGTCATTTTATTTGAAAACCCCCCTGACATAATGAAAAAGTAATTTGATTTAAAAGCCGGACCAAAATATTGGCTGTGAAATATAATAAGTTGTAACAGAAATGTATTTATTGATTTAAACTGTAAATAAGAAAGGATAATTCCTCACTAAAATATTAAATGATTTATATTCATGCTCACAATCAGTAAACATGTACAATTCCTACCTTTTCTTTGTACTGTTGTGTCACCTAATGTCAATAACGCATTTTCTTTTATATTTCCCAAATTATAAGAAAGTCCTGACATCACTAAAACTAATCCATAAATGGAATGCCTAAAAAGGAAGTTATGCATTAATTAGAAACATTGTACTGACAATGAAACTAATTCTTGAATACAACCAATCAAGTGATCATTTGAGCCTTGAGCACTTTACAATATTGTAAGTTTGTAAGAGAATGATAATCCCTTACTTCATGATAAATACTCGCTAACGCTCGTCCGTACATATACTTAGCGTTAGCGAGTACTTATCATGAAGAGTCATGTCAGTGCAATGTTTGTAATTAATGCGTGACTTCCTTTTTAGGCATTTCATTTATGGATTAGTTTTAGTGATGTAAGGACTTTCTTATAATTTTGGAAAATATAATAGATTGTGTATTAGATGACACAACAGTACAATGAAATGATAAGAAATGTTTTCTGATTGTGAGTATGAATGTAAATCATGTAATTTTTTATTGAGAAATTATCTTTTTGTTTATTTACAGTTCCAATCAATAAATTCAAAATTTGAGTTACAACTAAATTTTATTTTACAGCCAGTATTTTAGTCCATTCCTATACATCAAATACTACTTCATTATATCAGGGAAATGTTCAAATACAATGCCTTTAAAAGTTTTAAATACATTCAAAAGTTAAACTAAATTCATTTTTTTTAAATTTTATCAGAATATTAGAAATTACTATTCTCACCAACCGCGGATTCAGTCATCTTAGTTTTTGAACGAGTATAAGCTAAATATTTAGGTTTTATTTAATTAGGTCTTTCCACTTTTCTGTGGAAAGACCTATTGTATTTGTTCTGATTATTATTATTTTCTTCCGCAAAATTTTGTTCTCGCGTAAAATTTTTGTTTCGCAATATGTCGCTAAGATATTTCTTATATAGTATCATACAGTTTATGCGCTTTTTATTTTCACCCATACTAAGCAGAACAATTTTCTTTGTAAGATTTATCTCCCTGAACACTGTTTTCCTTGTGACTACATCTCCTCCGTAACCGTAAAAGAAAGCGACATTTTTTTTTTATAAAATTTGGTCGTTATATCCTTAGCATGATTTGTCCTATTTTGACCGAAGCGATATGAACACTCCATATGAGAGTTATTTCCCCTTGTGTATTTGATATAAGTGATATGCATTTCTATCTTTTAAACCATAAGTGATAGAGACCTAGGATCTTTTGATTTGAGGTCCTTGGTAAAAAAAAATGAAAATTAGGTCAAGGTCAAAGGTCAAGGTCATATTCAAAATTTTGATTTTGGCTTATTTTCACTTCTTTTCAAAAATCGTATAAGATATCGACAACATATTATTACTTAATTGTTAGTTGCGACATGTTGTAACACATAAATTTTGGTTTTAAGGGTGGGCTAACATTAAATTAGAATTTTCTCCCCTCTTGTATTTAAAAATACGCGTATGGTGATATAACTCATTAACCATATATAACTAAGACCTAGGGTCTTTTGATTTGAGGTCCTTGGTTTATGACCTTGAAAATGAGCTCAAGGTCATAGGTAAATTTGACGTTCTAGATTTTGACATTTGCTTTTACCTCATATGTATACATGATAAAGCCATGGGACTTTTTGCATTAGGTTGCAAGCCATTTGACCTTGAAAAATCCAACCGGAAGTGACCTTGTGTAAACCGGAAGTAGCTATTTTTTGTACTTATTTAATATAAAAGTATATAGAACCATATGTTTTTGGAATCAGTGTCAAGTAAACATTCAAATTATACTGGAAGTAACATTTTTCAAACCGGAAGTGACAAATGATCTCCCTTATTTAAAAAAAAATGTATAGAAACCATATTTTTTGGAATCAGCGTACAATAAGCTATCAATTGACGCTGGAAATGACATTTTAAACCAAATTTTAATATTTTCATATCAAAATAGATCTTTATGGGTGGAAAGACCTTCAATTGTTCTCTGAACAATTGGTTTTTAATTTTTTTTTTTTCTTCCGCCTAATTTTTTTTTCTTGCGTAGTATTGTTGTTTTATTAGATGTCGCTTATATTTTTGGAATATGATATCGTACAATTTATACGCTTTTGAAACTGACACTGCTTAACCGAACACTTTATGTTGTAAGAGTTGTCTCCCCAAACACTGTTTTTCTTGTGGCCACTACTCCTTCGCAACCGTAAAAGATTATGACAAATTTATTTTACCAAATTGCTCGTTATATCTTTAGGATTAGGTTGGCCATTTGGACCGAAGCTCTCCAGAGACTCCATATGAAAGTTATTTCCCCTTATGTATTTGATATAAGTGATATGCATTTCTAACTGGTACACCATAAGCGATAAAGACCAGGATCTTTGGGTTTGAGGTCCTTAGTCCAAAAAAATAAAAATTAGGTCAAGGTCAAAGGTCAAGGTTATATTCAAAATTTAGATTTTAGCTTATTTTCACTTATTTTCAAGAACCGTATAAGATATCGACAAATTAATTTTAATAAATTGTTACTTGCGACATGTCGTAACACGTAAATTTTGATTACAAGGGTACGTTGATCGTAAAGGGGAGTTTTCTCCATTTTTATATTTAAAATTACATGTATGGTGGTATAACTCATTTACCAAGTATAATAAAGACCTAGGGTAATTTGATTTAAGGTCCTTGGTTTATGACCTTGAAATAGAGCTCAAGGTTAAAGTTGAATTTGACGTTCTAGATTTTGACCTTTGCTTTAACTTCATATTTAAACACGATAAAGCCTTGGGACTTTTTTCATTTGGTTGAAATTTACATGACCTTGAAAGTCCAACCGGAAATGACTTTGTGTAAACCGGAAGTAGCTTTGTTTTGTACTTAATTGATGTTAAAGTATATAGAACCATATATTTTTGGAATTAGTGTCAAGTAAACTATCAAATAATATCAGAAGTGACATTTTTCAGACCGGAAGTATCAAATTATCTCCCTTATTTCAGCAAAATTGTTTAGAAACCATATATTTTTGGAATCAGCGTACATTAAGGTATCATTTGACACTGTATATGACATTTTAAACAGTATTTTAATATTTTCATATCTAAATTTTTTTTTATCTTTATTAATTTTCATATCTAAATGAATCGTAAGAAGTGGAAAGACCTTCAATTGTTCTCTGAACAATTGGTTTTTAATTTTTACTGGTATACTATTCGTACGGTACAAAGTTAAAGTTAAAACTGCGTATATAACATTAAAATAATTAGAACATAAGATTACATTCGTTCTTGTCATACTATTACATTAGAACAATCATTAAGTTGTAAATATTATTTTTATAAAGTAAGTCAATTTTTTAGATATGCTTAAAATCGCACATCTAAAGGGGCATAATCTATGACGTTTTGTTTACAACATTACATAATTAAAATAAATTGACTCTTACTACTTGTGGAGTGAGTTTTACTGGCAAGGAAATAGGCACAGCATACAAATTACATACTCTGCATACTCTGCATATTACTACATCAATAGAGTCCTAAAACCAAAATGTAATCATAAACATTCGAACTCGTAAGATATTAAAATATACAATCTGACAAAATATCTCAAGTTCATTCATAGCTATACTTCTATCATTACAGTGTATAATATAAGTCTACTAATGAATATCAACATTAACACTTTTCCTTATTTTGTTTGATATGCCGCCATTTATGAAACATCAATTATCTGTGTCAATAATCAAATAGCTATGCAAATTACCTTATTCTATATTCTAGCTGACAAATTAACGGTAGATAATAAAAAATATGTAGCACAAAGCTAAATAAAATTGTCTCGGGTACCTAGCATACTAATGTAACAAACAAACTTTACGAGGAGAACGAAGTCAGACAATAGAAACTTTGCTAAATTTATCATTTACATGTGAAAATATTATTCATGACTATAACAAAAAAGTTAACTTACATCAATCAGTAAATTTGTTGTGTCCACAATAAATGAAAACAATAACTATAAAGTATACAGGTGAATATAAATCGGGACACACAATTCATGTGACTGCCATTTTCAAATTCTCGTTCAAATCTACCTGGGTCAATAAAAAGCAATCTAAATTGACCACGAAATCACAATAACCAATCAAATACGATATTTTAAGTAAACGAACCCTTCTGAATATTCATGAAATCACTATAAAGAGTAAAGTGTATATTTGCAAATAAATAATTATATTCTTTTTTCAAAATTCATGATGCAAACTTTTATAATAAATACAATTAATTTAAACCACATCATTAAGATATTTTGTCTATTATTTAAAGAGACGTAAAAATGACTACTACATTTGCGTTAGCAAATTTTTGTTCTTCCCTCAGCAGGATTCGAACCCTTGCGTCTGTGACATCGTGGCAGCACCGCCTGCACCGTATCCAGCGACCTAGACCACTTGACCACCTTTGCTACATAAAAAAATAGCTTTCGGTGATCGATGTAATGCCTTTCCTCGTCGGCTTTATCTAGGGTTGTAACATAGTACATGATGTATAGTGGCATGTAGATGGTGTACCTTTCAGATCAGCTATTTTGTCTGTCGTAAAGGATGATAATGTTAATTACCATGCCGCCACATAAAATTTTAATTTTATTATGCACGTCTAAACATGTGATGATATATTGATCTAGATGACCTAACAGTATTAAAATTACCATAACTAATTACTATAACATGATACAAGATCGATCTAACTTGGGCAGAACATAAGCCGTTTTTCCTTTGGTGCTTTAAAAGAGAGGCGATTTACTAAAGGGGTATTTAAACTAATAAGTCGAAATCAAACTGACAATGCCATGACAAAAAACGAAAAACGACGAAAAGACAAACAACAGTTAAAAAAAAAAACAACAAAGAAAACTCAAGACTGAGCATTTCAGTGTTAAAAATCTGCATTTGCTGTGAAGTGAAGTTTTATGATTGGTATCTGAATGACGTATGCCACGAAGATATGGGACGACTGTATCTTAATTACATAGAGGTAAAAATAATTTATTATATCAATTCTCTTTGTCTGAAAAAGATTAATTTCCTTTGATTAAACAAGAATAGTTACACTTTCAGACGAGGTTTTATAGTTATGAATTTAGAAAAATAATTTATTATATCAATTCTCTTTATCTGAAAAAGATTAATTCCCTTTGATTAAACAAGAATAGTTACACTTTCAGACGAGTTTTTATAGTTATGAAACTTTAATTGATTCCATTTTTGTGTCATCAAATTGATACCTTTTCACTGTTTTTGTATGTCAATAACAATCGGTATTATATCTTGTCTTTTTCTGGTTTAGTTGCAAATACCTGAACTGTTTTCTGATATTTAAATGCTTTTATTGCTCATGATGAATTGCATTTTGTTGGCAAAATATTTATTTTCATTTTGTTTTGGCAACACTTTATCTATTCAGGTAATCGTTTCCCAAATCTTTCTGTCCCTCCTCCCACACTGAAAATCAAATGGTTCTCTACGAACGATCTTTATTAAGTTCCTCCAATCGAGTGAAAACCATAAACACAACTCTTCTCCTCTGAAACTACACACTTAAATACTAATTATTTTGGGTTAATGTCTGCATATTATTTACTATGAATATAGGGTTTTATTTTTTTGTCTATAGAGTAATTGTTTATCCGAGAGGAGTCATGTGGTCTTGAGAATTTTAATGATTCAACAATCAAAATTATTTGTCGTGCTTAAGTCGTTCCAAATTAATAGGTCAGTTATGCCTGTTTTAGAATCTTCTTCGTCTACTTCTTCTTTTTTCGTTTATCAACAAAGGAAAATTCCATTACGCTTATGCTGTGTCATCAAGTGCAGGTGCTGAACAAAGTGTGAATAAGGAAAAATGAAAAATTCTATGTACAAATTAAAATGTGGTTGGTGTGGTGCATGATAAAAACCTGGATTTTATTCTACGTCAGCATCACCGTGTTCCTGGTCTCATGACAGAATTGCGACAAGAGGTTTTCCCTGAAGGTGTCCGAATGGGGTTTTCGTAACAATGTTTCATGGAAGTTGTTTCTAGTCTTCGATTGTCGATAGAACCTGTGTTCAGAGGTTTTGCAATGTGGTTGTATGATATTGACTGAGTGACTATGTCGCATTTTTTTGTTGTTAACAATAAAGTACTGTGGATTTTCGGTGGCTACTTGGTAGCATAGTATCTTCTGAAATAGGATTAAGCGTTTTGCTGTTTCCTTGTTTTAAGAATAGGCCAATTCACACAGCGTATAATTGTTGTATTTGACCCAGTTTGGTAATTGTAGTTGTTGTTACAAATCCTGGCGCTATGTGTTGTATTGTTTCCACCTTTTTGATGTCCTACTTCCAGTGAGGGTCTCATATTGTACTGCTATATGCTAAATGTCGTCTAACCAGTGCAATATAAGCATGTTGTTTGATATATTGAAGCATCGATACAAATTTCTTCTCACAAAATTTGTTTGCTGTCTCGTTTTATTTATCTTGGAGGTATTGTGGTGGTTCCAGTTGTCGCTTGTTGTCCAGCTCCAATCCTAAGTATGGGTTATGTTTTTTAACTTCAAGTTTTGTTTCATGTAATAAGTCGATTTTCTTAGTTGTATTTGATCTCATTTCATCAATAAAAACATATAAATTAAATGTAAATCATTTACTAATAACTGTACAGGACTGACTTTTTGCGGGTCGACTCAATCAAAGAAATCGGTCTCCATTTTACTGACTTCCCTCCCTACTATCACTTTTTTAGTTGACATTCGTTTTAATCACTGTCCATGTTAAACACATGCGCACCCCACTTCCAACAAATGTTGAATCAAAAGTCGCATGGATACAGATTCAAATGAGGTTGAATTATTAACTTTGCAAGGTGTACATTTGCTTCCTCCCTGGACAGGTTTCGTCTACCATTGGCCTTCTGCATTATCCAACGTTGGGTTATTGATTCATGTAGAAAGAATCTTTCTGAAAGACTGTTATCATATTATTTGACTGTTATCATATTATTTGACTGTTATCATATTATTTGACTGTTATCATATGATTTGACGATAATCAAATAACCAGATGAGTCATTTTAGAATGTGTACTCTTGTTATGTTATGTCCAAAAGGTCTAAAAAATGTAACACTTCATTGGTGTGCTAAATGTTATATTAAAAACTACCAAATTATGTTGATCCCTCTTACAATTTATTAACGTTTACATTTTTGTGCCAGGCATATTTAAATCATTTCAAAGTAATAATCTCGAAATTCACAATGTATTTAAAATGTCCGAAATATTTGTTTACACCTTAAAGTCATATGAAAATTCAAATTTAAAAAAAAAGTTTAATACGTTTTATATACCTGAATGGCTAAGTGTTACTATATAACAAGTGTACGTTAACTTTCTTGTAAAAGGAAATCCTTTATGTCATATAATTTTTCATAAATATACTGATATTGAATTATTGTCCTCCTGTATAGTAATTCGCCGATATTTTCCCGTATGCAGTGACCTTAACTTCATGACCTCTCATTAGAACTTCGGCCACCGCACAGCGCAAGCGCGAGGGGAAAAACGTGATGAAATAATGTAAACAAAAATGTACTGGAAGGTAAATAGTAATTACTGACTATGAAAGAACAAACCTAATGCAACAAACCATTTAACAACTGTTTAGGAGAGTTTAAGTAAAAAATCGGAACGCATGGAAAATATAAAAAAAACGAATATCATGGCTCTTTTACTTCAATTATTTGTCGCGAGCTCCACGTGCGTTGTGTTGATTGTATATCAATGTCACGATCCGGTAAACCTCGGCCACTAACTCGAAAGTTAATTAGCTTGATATCAACAATCACTGAATGAAATATTATTTGTCGATAATACGTTATAGATTCGTAATAATTAAAACAAAACGTGCATACAGGACTTAGTTTAGTATATATGCATGCATTGGTTCAATAATTTCGATAACATTAAATTTAAAGAAACTCATTTCATATGACTTTAAAATTGTTAGATCATAAATTTACGTATGTTAATATGGTCAGTTTTGATCTAGAATCCAACAGTTATTCATTTTGTCTATTTGATCAATTAACATTATTTAAAATAAATAGGCAGGTAAATAATTCACCTTGATAACCGGAATAAATCCGTCATCTTATTTCTGTTGACAAAATGACCATAACAAACGCTGTTGCTAGCAACGTTATTTGTTACTTAAAGAAGGTAAAATTGTTATCCAGGAACTCCGTTTGAATATGCCAACGAGCGCACATTAACTGCGTTCGGATCATCCAACGTAAGCAATTGTTTTTGGTTTAAAATTACTAACATGCAATACTGTTTCATTTTAGATTTGGACTTTACCCATTCGTTTATGTTTATTGTATATTGCACTGCCGACTTGTTTGTGAATGAACTGTGAAGCTAGATTCCCCTCATTAACTTAACCCCAACATCTCATGTATTGGTACCAAGTTCGTGTATTGTAGTACAAGATCAGTCGACTACGTATACAAAAGCTAGTTTCCCATGCATCTACATCATCCCACAACATGATCCCACTCAAAGCAATTTTGGCAATGTTTATCAGGAAACGTAACATATTATTTCTTGATTCAATTATCACCAACAGGATAATCATTAGAAAAGATTCAAATAAATTGGCTAATAACATTTGACAAAAAAAAAAAAAAAAAAAAATTCAGGTGAAAAGTGAGAGTGTTTTGTATATTATTGAAGAAATCACATATGTCTGTTGCCATGGACAAAATTTACATCGTCTTAACCTTTGACAGTCATCAATGACGTAACGAATAGCTAATGTAATATCGTCTCATGATGCTGCATAAGCCAATCAAATTAACGCAGTTTTCGTATCACTTTTTCGTATCTCACTCCGTGCAGTGTGTACTAGTAATATAGCTTCATACAAGAAATATATAACATGCCGCAACCATAAGAGAATGAAATTTAGTCGATTCACAATCGATTTAAATTTATATTCCCGAAACGTGACGATAGTATGGTAAATCACCACTTTTGAAGTTTTTATCAAACAACATCGTTACCATGTTTAATTGTCGATAGTATTTTTTCGAAAGTATTTTGTTGAAAAATATTTCTGGTTAATTTTCATAAAAACAAAACAATTTACAAGTGGTACGACCAATGTGATAATGGTAATTGGCAGTTGCACTGTCCCATAAGTCTAAAATGTTAATTGTTAAGTTTTAAAGAATGTAAATGTGCCTTCTAGAGGTTTTGGTTAGTTGAGTCATTGGAATTCTTTTGTTAATCATGATGATTTTAACTATGGTAACTTATACACGTTTGTTTTAAGTTATAAAATCATGTAAAACTTGATATATAAGAGTAATTAAACAACAATTATAAAAGCACACCTCTAAAAAACAAACCCCGAAACTAGACATCAACTTTCGATCTTGTTTTAAACATTATTTTTTTTTAGAGAAATCAAATCATGCTATATAATGTAATACATTATTATAAAAAAAAATAGGATCCAGAAACAAGCAACATTGCTTATTTTAATGTGTCTCCAATACATTAGCTTAAGAAACTATATAAGTTTGAATAGATATTCTACACCTTCCGTAATGAGTATTGGGTATGGTTAAGGGTTTACCTAATTTTCTGTTCATAACCATAACTTTTTTGTGCAGAGGAACATTCCATTGTTAATAATCTAGAAATATATAATAGTCTAGTTTCTACTTTAACCATGCACACCGTGCATTTTTTATGCGCTAATTGCTAGTGTTAAAAACTTGTTATTGTCACTTTCATCTTTGGTTTCTTATAGACCATACATTTATCTCTACAGAAAAAAATCATGGATAAACAAGAAGACGAAAAAGATAACCTCACAAGGGTCGGATTAGCTGTGTTAGATGAGATACAGGATGCTGTGCGAAGTGTGATTGATTCAAATATTCCGAGCTCTTTAGAAGATATATTCAATAATTATCAGCATAGATTTTACCATCATTTTTCAAAGAAATGTCATTCTAAATGTGACATTAATAGCCCACTTTTTAGAAATAGAATTATTCTTACGAAATCTCAAATGGAAATTGTGTATGAAAAATCAAAAATACATTCAGAAAAAAATCTCAGTTTTTGCTGCTCAACTGCCATTCCTGGAATTGAATCAAAGAAGTTTGACTTGTCGTTTTTAAACGCGTTTTTAACTATTTTTTCTGAAATCATTTATTGGCCAAGTTGCCTGTCCAATCAAAGCAAGTCCTTGCAAGATTTATTAGATGATAACAAGCATAAGCTGTATCATTTCTATGACAAAAAACCTTGCTGTTACTGCTCACCAGGCAATCAACCGAGTACCGATGACTTTAAAATCACCGAACAGGAATTTGAGAATTTATTTGGTAAGCAAGGATCAGTTTCATGTAAAAACACAGGCTCTATTGGTGATTGCATTTGTCAATTTTCGGCAAACAACTTAAGAGAAGACTCGCTAGGTGATTGGTTGACTTATATGGTTCTCCGAAGCTGTTGTTCGTTGAAACAATGCATAGAGTCATTGGTGAAAGTCCGAAATAAATTTCTTGGCCATTCTCGTAATAGTAAGATGTCCAAAGATGAATATAAAAAAACATGGAAAATTATTCAGGAAAAGGTTCCTGAGTTGTTAAATCATGGTATATTCGACAAAAAGAAGAGAGAAGAAGCTGTTCAAGAATTTACCCAAAGGTTGAAGGACTTGAAAGTCAAACCACTTACAGAGGAATTATACAGACAAGTAATGACAAATTTGCTACAACAGAATGAGGTAGATTAAATGAAATAATGTAGCAATATACTTCAATGCTGTTCTATTGTTTAAAATATGCTATTATTGATTATATTCTATTATAAGGTGTTTAACAGTTGTAACATGTACATTCTACTAAATTACCACTCCACTTAGAATCATGAAAATGTGATTCAAGAAGTGAAAACCTACATATTTTTGGTTTTGATATACTGTTCATAATGCAAAGTAATATTAAAAGCAACCAATATCTTCTACTTATACCAATGGTCAGACCAGATATAAATCATATGACATCATATGAAATGTACTATGAAAAAGTCTGAAAAGGGAACTATCTCCATAATCTGCAGTATATTCTATTATAAATATCAATTCAACATACATGTAATTCTGTTTTACACCAGAAAGATGGAAACATAATTAATTACATCCACTTCATTTGAACTTTGGTTGATAGTTGTCTCATTGGCAATCATACCACATCTCCTTATTTTTATAATGATATAATATTTGTGATAAAAAAGGTCTCTCCAAAAACTCTTTTGGGGGATGTCTGTTGTTGCATATTTATCATCATATTAATTAGAGAATTTCACAACGATGAAATGACACTATATGTTCTTAGAATTCAGATGAAATGGCTTAAGTGCAGAAAAAGAGATATTTAAAAAAATGTAGTACTTTAGGACGTTTTACTTCTTCACCATTGATTCAAGAGAGTTTTTGAGAGAATCGTTGTCGCAAACGAATTGCATAACATGCATGCAGATACAATGTGTATATTATCAAAGACATTTCAGAAACGCGGAAGATGCATGTATGATAATATTTAGAATCTTTTTTGTCTTTATGCTATGCTCTGAGTGAATACTGCATGACTCACTTGTAGCTATAGTACATGTACCAGGAATAGCCCAAGTTTTAGTATCTCTACTCTAATTTTCTATTTTATTGATATTGTTAACATGTTTATGCACTATCATGTCCTCTAAGAAACCTTGGACAAAGATATAAGTATAAGGGTTATCATAGCGCTGGTTTTGTATCATTATACTGGACCACACAAGCATTTTTATATTCGTACGATTCAATTTTACATCTTGAAAATTTTCTAATCATTCGCTCAACTAATATTTATCCATTTTTTAAGCATAATTTCAGAATAAATTTATGTTGCGGAGATCTTAAGTTATACGTAAATATATGATAATGTTAATAACTACTAGAAGTGTTAAGTTTCTTCACTTATTATTTTGGACTTTTTAACAGAAAATGAAAGATTATCTATAAGTTATGATATGACTGAACTCTATTCCTCACATCTATTATATTTTTTAGTTGATTTAGATAGTTGCATTAAAAAGTAAATAAACATTGTCTTCGTTTTGAAGAGTCTCATTCATATTTTTCTTCAGAATACAGATTATTGACTACTTTTTTTTTACAATTTCATGTTGATGCTTGCTCTTTTTATATTTGTACACGGGTCTTGAAGTTGGCCAATCTGGTAAATTGTCGACTTGAAGAGGTCAATATTCGCAACATTTTGACAGGGTGTAATATGTATTGAAATTAAGGTAGTCAACCCATGAAACATACATATTTTAGCCTAGTCGTCTGTGTTGCTCTGTTGTAATGGAATTCCAAAATCAAACCACTTTATCATTATTCACAAACCGACCGTGTTTCATTTAATGAAAAGCTGTATTTAAAAACACACTTTTTAGTTTTATTTTACACGAAAAACTCACATCTATATGTCTTATTTATAATGAGAAAATACATTTCATGTGTGTATAGTAATTTTTCATATTGTGACATTTAGATTATACAGGATATGAAAGAGCTGTCAGAAAACGTGGAAGCAGGGTTTCAAAATTTTCAGTCTGTCGCAGAAAACACACAAGTTGGGGTTTTGAACCTTCAGTCAGTCGCAAAAAACACACAAGCTGGGGTTTTGAATCTCCAGTCTGTCACAGAAAACACACAAACTAGGGTTTTGAATCTTCAGTCAGTCGCAGAAAACACACAAGCTGGGGTTTCGAATCTTCAGTCATTGCCAGATCGTGTGGATGGAATTGAAAAAACCTTGATTGAACTCAATATCTTAGTACGTGGTAAGTCAAAATACGTATGAATTTGAAATTTTGTCGTTGTTGTGTAAATTTTTGTCGAAAAAAAAAAATAATGCATTATCTAATGATTACTTTTAAAAGTGAAAAACGAGATATAACAATGAAAATATCTGTACCAGAAAACTTTATACTCCTTATCTTATAATTGAATGATCGATATCATAGTTGCCAACAACAATTGGTCAACTTTGATTATAGGGCCTAAATAAAGGCAACGGTAGTATACCGCTGTTCGAAATTCATAAATCGATTGAGAAAAAACAAATCCGGGCTACAAACTAAAACTGAGGGAAACATATCAAATATAAGAGGAGGACTACGACACAACAGAAACACAACATTAAAATGTAACACACACAGAAACGAACTATAATATAACAATGGCCATTTTCCTGACTTGGTACAGGACATTTTAAGAAAAAAATGGTGGGTTGAACCTGGTTTTGTGGCTAGCCAAACCTCCCGCTTTTATGGCAATGTTAAATATAACACTAAAATGACAACATTACATGACAGGACTACAATACAAATAATGGGAGAACATATAGGACAGAGAAACATACGAATAATAGGTAACAAAAGGTACCAGGTTTAAAATTTAATACGCAAGACGCGCGTTTCTAACCAGTGACGCTCAGATAAAAAAAGTTCGAAAGCTAAAACAAGTACAAAGTTGAAGAGCATTGAGGACCAAAAGATCCAAAAAGTTGTGCCTAATACGGCTAAGGTTTTCTGTCTGGGATAAGAACATCCTTATTATTTAGAATAATTCATACGTTTGCAAACAGTAAATTTATAAAAATGACTATATAATAGATATACATGATAACACCGAAGTGGTGACTAACTACAAGAATAAAAACGGATACATAAAACAACATAAACCAGCACATAAAAAAACCACTCTTAGGTTATCAAGATAGTACATAACGACTCTACCCTTTCATCTGACATTTCCAAAAATGACTAACAAATGAATTTAGTGACAATACAAACAGGAAGAAATCATTTTTTTTTAAATCATATAAAACCAAACTGGTACCGATCTTTAGGTTAATAAGTAGTGATGCTCTGACTTCTTTTAGATTATCGCTGACCAAATCGAACATCAACATAATCGCCACTATCGCTTACTCTGATGATTAAATGAAATATCATAATAGAATACGTTTTGAATATCTATTTGGGGGCTGATTGATAACAAACTTTGAAGTAAATGATAAATTCATGATGTCAAAAAAACAATTATTGTTGAAGAATTCAAGCTGTCAAACAAATGCAATTCAAGGTCAAATCAACATGGCCATTAATATTAAGTGTGCAACAAATACAAACACACGAAATAATTTTTTTCCCACACTAGGCTAATTAATCCCTTCTAAACATTTGACTCCACTAGGGATAAAGTGAGTGCTATTGTCATACAAATGAGTCCCACTGTCATTATAACTATAACTACGTGAATGGATAAGGAGGATGGGAATATAAAAAAAAATACATAGTAAACAGCAAATTTTGTAAGGATAAAACACTTAAAAGGGATTATTATGTGACCAGATAGAAAACTAAGTGATAAAATTTAGATATCAGATATTAGAAGATAGCGTTAATAAAGTGCTTATAGAAATGGTCACCTTACCAATGAGCTTATAACACAAAAAAATATATTTGATAATAGATAACAAAAGAAATAGTCGGCATTCGTGAAAAAATTATAACCATAAGATAAAACATATTTAGATGAAAGTCCATCAATTTCGTTGCATTTATGTATTATATTTGCTATTTAAAAAAAAACGATCATCTACCAAATCTGCATCTAAATAGTGAATATTTACATTCTACCTTTTTTTCATTCTAGGCTTTAGTTTTTTTTAGAGACTTTTTCTTTTAATACAGAAATTTTTATAATTTCATCGTATGGTATAAAATTAATTTGTAATAACAAAAACAGACATTTTGTGGATTCATTTAAACAAAACCATACTTTGTATTATAAGGGAAAATAATTTAGATATCTGAGTTTTATAAATATAAAAAATGTATCCATTTGCTGTGTAGCAAGAACATGAGTATCGTGATCCGTTTTTTGTCCCCCGCGTGACGCATTGCGGGGACATAGAAATACCAGGCGTCTGTCCGTCCGTCCCTACGTTCGTCAGTCCGATTTTGTTATTGATCTCACGTGTATAACTCTTGCCAGATTTTTATAAAACTTACATCTTAGATTTATATCAGCAATGTCTCGGAAAAACTCGAAAATCAGTGCCGATCAATTATTAAAAAGATAAGAGTTATGGTAGCAATATACAGTTAGGAAAAAAAAAATAAATCTACCCTCATAAATTTTACCATCCCCTTTTCCTTGCTTTCTTACACATTAAGCCTACTGTTTGTGTCATATATGTGCATATGTTTGTAATCAGTATCTTCCATAGATTTGATTTCCAGTAGTTAAAATATAATTTCTTTTTGTTGTGTCTATGGAAAACACTCTGCATTCATTTGCTATAAAAGATTGCAAAAAGGGGTGTGAAGATGTCACATATTTCCCCAAAATTTGTTTAAAGTAGAATTTCAATCCCTTGGAGTGTTACCTTTATGTAACTGTTTACATATATCTATCAAGAGATCAAATGAAAATCATATGTCTTTCGTCTCATTTTTCGTAAAATTGCGTCAAAAAGTTCAATGAAAAAAAGTGTTTGTAAACATTACAATAATTTTTGGACCTATGGCCGGTCGAGATATGAAAATACGGACAGTAAAACAGAAAATAGCCCATAAAACGTGTCAAAAATAATCTTTATAATCCTATAAACACACTTTGAAGGCTTGATTAGTCATCAGCTATCTAAAAATGAATTTTATTACACAATAACTTTCATATTTGAAAAATCCACCATGGCCAAAATGCGAAACCACACTTCTAACTGTATATTGCTACCTATGCCCTAGGGAAATATTAATTATATGGGGAATTGCATTTGATTTCTCTAACTTATTAATAAAAATTTTAAAAGAACAATAAAACTAAGTTTCATCAAATTTATGTTTAGCAATACACAATCGTATACCTCTGTCTTATGAAAACAGGTGATTCAATTGGATGACTTACAAACCAATATTATGTTGTACCTCAAAAATATTAGTTTTAGTGCTATTGACAATAATCTGTAAATTAGTCTCGAAAAATATGAAAATGAAATCTTAATTTTGCCCAAAAACGGCATTATGCAGTTTGAATAATGTTGATAGAAAACAGACGGAGCTACACATGACAAAAACTTTCGTCTATTTATTTTTTTTATAGATGTAACGGGGTATTTTTTCGGTCAAACACAACAAACGATGATATAATGGTTATTGCTTTCAATACATAATATTCTAACCCCAAAATGAATTATAACGAATAAAAAATATTCACATGATAAAACAGTTCATGTAACATATGGACAAAGGGGAATAACTACAATTTATAATCATTCCTATCAAAGCACAAAAATCTCACTCTTTAGTAAATGTACCCTTTAATTATAGCAGTCCATGACAAAAATTACTAGGTTCCAAACCTAAAATGAATATGATCTATCTAAATTCAAAAAACTGGTGCACGTCTTCATTCTGTGTACAATCACTGTCCAAAGTTGGAGTAATGTTGAGAAAAGACTGACAGAGTTAATCACGACACAAACAAGTACTATAGCATCCAATGCGAAACATTTATAAGTTTCAAAATGAGAAACCAGAGAAAAAATAATTACAAAATGTCCAGAATTGGAAGTGCGCATCTTCAATCCATGAACAATCACAGTGCAAAATTGGAATAATGTTAAAGGAACTCATAACACAAACTAGAAACATTCTACAGCATTCAATGAGAAATTGACCAAGATTCAAAAATGGGGAAATAATTCAAATGTGTCCAAAATAAGCAGTGCACATCTTTATTTTATGTGCAATAACTATAAGGTTTGAATAATTTTGAAACAAAATCCTTTGAGCTACGCATAACAGAAAGTACATACCCTTAATGTGTTAAGAACAAAAGGACAGATAAAAGGGCGGTTACTTGACCATGTTAAAATGAAGAACTGACAAAAACTAAATAAAAAAGTAAAAGCTAATGACTGCCAAACTATAAGAAAACTACAAGCTACTTTAGGAAGTATGTTTATCATCAGCAACCTCTATCAAACACGGACACTACCGAGGATGAAAATAAAAGAAAAGCAGTCAATACAATAAAACTGATTTGACTATTCTTACAGAGAGATAATTGCTACCAAACTTTGGATAATGGTAAATTTATCACTTCTTTAAACAACTGGTCAAAAGATTATTATGCAGATAGCATATTTTAGCATTATACATAACTTATAGTCTAAACTATCCATTTATGATTACGTCACCTTAAATTTCTTTAAAAAAAAGGGCGTTTTTAAAAGCCAACTAACTCAACAGTACAAATAAAAATACCTGAGTGCAGTCTCAATAATTGTATATTTAATAGATACAATAAATATTAATATATACATTTTACACAAAAGTTATGATTTAGAAACATTTGACAGAAATGCTATATAACACAAAACTCAATTCAAGATTAACATTATATCAATATAAAAGAAAACAGAATGGCTAGCACATGATAATATTTCAATATTTAAATACTTTCATTATAAAGTTCAAATACATTATAAATCAATTATTACAGATCGAAATATAAAGTCGGATTTAGATACTGATACAGCACCATTTTCGACAATAGACGAACCCGGGAGTCAAGGTAAGATAAAGAACAAGGATGACACTAACATCACGGTAGGTATAATGTCCAGTTGGGATTAATGTTGGAGTTAATCGGTCTACTACTTTTTTTTTAGTGCAGACCGTTTTTTTTCAAGTGAAATACATATGATCAAATCCATTTACTTTTATTTCCCAACTAATTAAGTTTTGTGAAACACTGGCCAATTTATTTTAAATGATATAGAGCTAGAGATATTGTATAGACACGTGGGTATTATTGAAGACTGACTGTTACCTTTTTCTGCTATTTTTTCTTTGTGTTGTTGTCTCATTGCTGTCTCGTGGACGTTTACCACATCTCATTTTATTCATAGACACATTATATTCTCTTTGTTGTTTTAAAAGAACCTTACTTAAACTTTTTCTTTTTTAAGAATGCATCAATAGACCACAATTCTTTCCTATTTATGCTGGCAACGAAGATAGACTTAATTCATTATTTTAACAAAATATGTCGTTTCTACCCATATTACCATAAATTTTATTACAATAAATAATGGATATCTTGAACATTCATGCAGACAGGTATGTAACTTTATATTCAGACAAGATTTTCAATTGAAACACTTAAAGTGCCAATTGTGATCTTTATTCAAATTAATATTTGATGATAAAAATGAAAATTACACTTATGCGTCCGAAGATATTTTCTGGGCTTTTCTTCATCAGGAACGTCCAAAACCAAATAGTTAAAAGCTGATAGTGTATAAGATGTATAAGAACCGAAACACGTGAAGAGCTTTTAGACCAAAAGAGATTTAAAATAAAAATCCAATCAATTTGATGTCAACTTTGCATGAAGGAGTCGAAGTAAAATAGTAAAATTATATAGAAAGACAAAAATACAGTATTCAGACTCATTCATGTTCAAATCGGATCCTAGCAAATCCCTCAATTTTTTTATTATGATTCTGTACTTGATATAAATACAGGAGAACTGCGCTAAGTCTCTTCATAAAAGAAGAAATAAATCCAAGTTCTTAAGAGAATGCCTGTACCAAGTCAGAAATATGACAGTTGTTTTCCATTCGTTTGATGTGTTTGAGCTTTTGATTTTGCCATTTGATAAGGGACTTTCCGTTTTGAAGTTCCTGGTAGTTCGGTATTTTTGTAATATTACTTTTTTCCATTAACAATCCAAATTTTCTGATTGGGTCCCATTAATATATCCTCGTGAACTAGAGATTAAAGAAACCACAGATAGAGCGTGTTCATACGCCTCATTTCTAGACATTTTCCTCGAATTTGACATCTGCAGTCATCTCAATACCATAACATATCACAAACAAGACGATTTCAATTTTGAAATTTTAAATTTTCCTCACCTAAGGCCTTATGTAGGAAATTATGGATTAAACCTGGTTTTATAGGTAGTTACACCTCTCACTTGTATGACAGTCGAATAAAATTCCATTATATTGAAAACAATGTGTGAACAAAACAAACAGACATAATAGGTAAAAATGTCAAAAATTTGATTACAGCAGTCAACATTGTGTTGTAATCTTAATCACTATAAAAAAAAAACACAACTATGTCAACAAAGAAAAACAAAAGAGCATGTAGACACTCTATAGTTAAAGCACATAAGCAAAAATAAAGGACATGAATACAATAAATGACCATAGCACAATAACACAATGTCGAGATGTATAAATACCGAGCCACGCCAAAAAAATAATACCAAAAATGGACTAAACAGTAAAGGTTAAAAATATACAAAAAAAAAACTACAAAAAAAAACCACTCTAACACGTGATTAAGATGATAAACAACGTTTATTATCTATTATTTGTGAAGTTAATACGGAATATTTATCAACACGGTCTTGGTATCTTCCGATGAACTTTTTTTTTAGAAAAAGGACGAGACGTTCTTTGACATAACCCTGGTTCATCAACTTTCTGCTCAGACTCTGGTGACGTTTAAAAAAGTCTGAGTAGCAGCTGCAATCTCTTGAATACCGAATGAGTTGGGAAATGTATATCCCATATGCAGGTGAAGTTGGTATATTGCTGCTAAGGTGGGAGAAATTTATAATTTCAAAATTAAAATCGTCTTGTTTGTCATAGATTCTGGTACTTAGATGACGGCTTTTGTTAAATACGAGGTATAAGTCTTAAAAATGAGGTGGAGGAAGTCGTGTCTGTTGTTTCTCTTATTTCTAGTTCTGGAGGATGTATCATTGGAACCCAATTTGAAAGAACATCATTATTAAACTTGTATGTGAAATTGGTCTTCTAGTTTTTTACAATTGTAAAACTCCGACTCATATATAGATTAAAATACATTTGTAGCGTATAGTATCATTTTTATGGATGAAAGCATTGTGGATTGTTTCCTTTAGACAGTGTTTTAATTTTTCATGTGGTATGGTGGTGTACAGAGTGGCAGATCGAAGGAGAATGACCGTGAATTTAAATTCTTAAGTTCTTAAGAGTTCTTAAGAATCCAAATATGGATAATGCCACTATGCGAGTAAATAGTGTCACAGTATTTCTGTAATCACTCTCTCCTTAAATGCTGGCAAAAATTCAAAAACAAGAGGAGCGAACATCCTTAAAGTCATTATCATACATGTACCTCTTGTATTGACAAACAAAAAAAGAATGATGTTTTTTTTAAAGCAAACTCAACTGTGCAAATAACACCATAACCTTAATGAAGCGACAATAAATGCATATTTAATGGATACACTAAATATTTAGTTATACACTTCAGTCTAAACAAAAGTTATGATTTAGAAATATTCTAACAATAATGCTGTAAAAAACAAAACACAAAGCAAGATTAAAATAGTATGATCAGAACTTGACACTATCTAATATTTGCATAATTTCATTATTAAGTTTAAATAGATGGTACATGAATATTATCTTACAGATCAAAATACAAATTCGGACTTAGATGCTGATGCAGAGCCGTATTTGATAGAAAGCGAACCCCGGAGTCAAGGTAAAATAAGGAACAATGATGACATTAATAATATGAGGAAGGCGCTACCTTGAATGCCAGCTTACCAAAACTATGTCCTACATATTGATTGATTGTTGGTTTGCTTAACGCCCAGTGGCAAATATTTCATGCATGTTCAGGACGAATGTCCTACATATAGTTTTTGTCTAAAATAAAATAATAAGTTTAGATGGAAAATGTTTAGGGAAAGATCATTGAACTTCAAAAGGCAGAAGGAGGTATGGTATTTTTTTTTTGGTGTGTCGCAGGAAGCATCAAAGCAAAAATTTAAAATAGCCTTCTTGGACGTCATAATTATTTGGACTAGTATTTTTCTTTAAAAATTGATGACAAAAAATACTCTGTTCAAGCAGAGGACAAAAAAAAATATTCTGAATCCAGATTTTCCCCATACCTTCTAGTGTTATATTTTGACTAAATAATTTTGATTGATAGCATTGAAGTGCTTCACGTGTAAAAAATCTGACTCAAACAAAAAACCATACCCCCTTTGAAGCTAAATGGTTGCTCCCTTATTGTTTTCTGCTGAAAATGAATTTATTGGTGATTTATATAAATGACAATGCTTACATTCATTATCTTGTGCATTTTCATATCCATTTTTCTTTCTTTGCAAATTTTATAAAATTTAAAATAATAAGACATTTGTTCAATTTCAAAACTATGAATACTGTACAGTTATACAATCCATAACTTTATTAAATTAATTTTTTGTTGATTTTCATGAAAAGGTGGAGGATTTGGAATATCTTTTTCATCAATATCTAAAAGTTGTAGCGGTTTTTTTTATTTAGTATTGCAAACAACGCTTTCTGTTTGTTGAATTATTTTTACTTTCTAAATTAGCTGGTTGTTCATATTGTATTCCAAGTTTCCTGCATCTCATATATATGTGATCAGCAAGAGGATCATTCTGATTGTTAAAAGAAGAGTTTGAATTTACAGTGAGCCTGCTTAGAAGAATGTTTAAAGATTTTGCTATTTTCTAGGATGCTATTTAAAATTTGAGGGGAGAACACTACTCAGTAGTATAAATGTATTCCTGATCATCTTCTTTTTGTGGGTTTCTACATCAATTTCATGTACTAATTCAGAGTCGGTTTTATGTCATTTCTTGCAAAAATTGTTTTATTAGCTTACTTTTCAAGTTTTTATACGATGGCAATATAAAATTGAGAATCGAAATGGGGAATATGTCAAAAATTTGCTTTCGAGTAATGCTATCATGTCGCTGTTGCTGTCCGAAGACACATTTGGTTTCCGGACAATAACTTTAGTTTAAGTAAATGGATCTCTATGACAATGTATGAAATTGTACCAGAAGGTTCAATACACAAAAGGAAGGTTAGAATTGATTTTGGGGGTTATGGAACCAACAGTTTAGGAGTCAGTGGTCAATTACAACATTTTTGGGTTGTTTTTTTTCCATAATTTTTGGGTTTTTTCTCCAAAAATTTACCATTTTTACATTGATTATTTCTCATTTATATATAAATGCAACAAATACTGATATGGCAGGTGATACACACGAAACAGTGTGTGTAAATCATTTTATCTGTAATTTGTGCATTTTTCCTTTGATGTGTACTTCTTGTCCTTGATAATGTCGACGTCATTATCAGTGGACTGGTCATGATAAAGAAAATATATTGGGTTAGTTCGCAATTGACATGCACAAGTGCACCGCAAAAGGATCTTCTTTCCCTTTAATTCACAAAATTGCACATGATTTTTTTCACAGAAACGCACACGTTATTTCATGAATGAAACACTTGTCATTGTTTGAAACTTTCAGTAATCAGCTGGTAATAAAACTTTAGTTTAGCCTTTTTGAACGATTCACTGATTGTGTGAAAATTTGAACAGAAAATGTACGATAAACCTGATAAAATTGCGGAATTATTGATAGCTTTCCTTACTATTCACAAGGACATATCACTAACATATCGTCCATGCTATTCTGATTTGAGTTTTTATTCCTACATAGTCTGGCATGGCTGGTGCTGTTCCAAGTTGTCTTTTGCTGCAACTTTTCTTGAGAAGTATTTGTTTGACCTGGTCAGTCGCTATAAATTGTTACAATTCATATTAAGACGCAACACATAAATAGTGACCAAATAGGTACCGCTTTCACATGCATGACATGAGAGAATCTAGAAAAAAAATTAAATGTACACATTTTCAACAATTTTGTGGGACTATCATATAAAATTAAGGAGATATGTAGTTGGAGACTGCTGCTGAAAAGAAATGTTTGGGCTCACCTGATACCTGTTTTCAAATAAGTCCATATTAAAGTTTGAAGGGTCCAAAATTAAAATATGTTTGATTTCAACTGACATAAAATTTTTGGTGTTTTTTATATGCTAAATCTACATCTGTGGTTGTATCAGGCTGTGCTTGGCGAAGCATTTTATTGCTGTTTTGTTTGTACTTTATTTTATTTTGGTCATGAAAATTAACTTGAAGTTGTGAAGTTGCTAACATTTTTAAAAGATGATAATTAGATAACTTTGCATGGTGATGTTTTCGTAGATTTACTTTTTCCCAGGAATGCTTCATCTGTTGATACATGTATATTCTCACTGTGAACGATTTATGTCTCAAAAAAAACTTGTAAGATTTCTGCAGTTATTTTTGTTGAATACATACATACACATAGGGTGAAAATTGGGTACTTGGTGCAATTTGGGTACTGTGACGTTATAGCCATAATTGTTTATTGCTATAATAGGTTGAAATGTGCACCTGATAAAAGTATTCGGTAAAGTGAAAATGTTTTGATCAGGTTTAAACTGACGCATAAAATATACTGGTGACTGCTGGAGGCAAATATTTATATTGCCTCCAAATAATGTGTCTGCAGCTTGAATTTCAAAAGATGTATGTAGCCCACATACTTCCAAGTAACATGCTCTATACCTATCAAAAGTCATGGTATTATCATGGGTTATCATAACTCCATTGTAATTCCCATAAAATCCAATTTTGGACAATATGGGAGCATACAATATATACCTAAATGTATCACTCAGACTCAAGTCTCCTTTTACTATGATTAAACTTAGAGAGTGAAAAAAAAACAGTCTCCATCTCCTGGGACTGTTTAAGGTAGATATGTGTCATAATTAATGACAAGATTTGTTGAGAGTTTGTCAAAGGAAGTACAGTGACAGTCTCCAAATTAGAAGATTGTGAATTTGAATATATATATTTTTTTTTAAACTTTTGTTAAGTTTTGAATTACACCTGCATTTGTCTGTTAGCTAGGAATAACAGTGACCACATTCCACAGTATAACCAACTTCATTATCACTGTAACTTGATATGGGAAATTCTGTAGCAGATTTTACTACCTTCACCTTGGCGTATAATGCAATTTTTTTGTTATAAAATGCTAGTGTGAGATAGGAGCATCATTTTGCAACTTACAACCTATTTTATGACCATTATTGAGTCCTCTGAAAGTTTCAGTTTTGTCAAAGCCTGCTGCATCTCTTGAGAATGCATGTGTACAACAATTCTTTTGTTGAAACATCTGTACTATTGACCAAGAATTGACAAGATAACAATAGAAGAAACTGCAAATACAATTATTGATTAAATGCAATATGTTATGTCACTATACTAAACTAGGAATGTTTGACATGTTTTCATACAGTTATATGGTTTTAAGAAAACAATGCTCCATTTTGGTTGAATAATTTGCTTTAAAAAAAAAAATTATACATCAATTGGTCTATACCATTACATGTCAATTGGTGGATTGTACGTCAATTGAGGTATAATCCACCAATTGGTGGTTATTCCTGACCTGTTCTGTGTTCACCTCCGCCTCCGGCTACGTTTCTCCCAAAATTTATTGCTTGCACTGCAGAGGGTTTTTCTGTGTTCCCATGGCTGGACGGAACTTTTACACTCAAATGTTATCATTAATTATGATATTGTGACTTTTAAATGAAGTACCTGTGGTAATTTAGGAGATTTGTCACTGATAATGGAAAGATGAAGCAGACGACGAAACATGGCGTAAGATGTTGTTGTCCAAACTTCGGTTGTTTCCGTGGTACAATAAAATTGAAATAAACTGCACAAGTTACTAAAATTTCTAAATTCTTGTTTTTGTAAACAAATAAGAATTCATGTCACATTTAACATCAAATTTATTCCGTTTTGTCCCGTTTTTTCAAGATCGCGATTAAACGAGAATCTGGCAGCCATCAAAAATATAAGGGTTAAACTAATGTCCTGAAATTGTCCTTACGGATATTCCAATGCTAATTTCGTTTTCATTATTTGAAGAATGGACCTTATATTTGGAGCCAAGCAAGAATACAATGTTTGTTTAATAAATATAATGAAAAAAAAAGAAAACAAATATTTTTAAGAGTTAAATAACTTGACTTGATCTACTTCGAAAATTAAAAAAAAAAAATCGTACGAGATTTAACGAGAGTGACGAAACTTTTTAGATTGCTCATGTAGAGAGAGTTATCGTTCTTTATTCCAATTCGATGCTTCTACCATAAGTGCCAGCTAAAGCTGGCATATTACCTATTTCTGATGGATGATTTGCAATAAATTGGTTTTGAAATAATTTCTACTATCTTGTCCCTAGAGTTAATAAAAGTAAAACTCAGTTGCCCTTTTGGATAGCAGGTTGTCCTAAAGAACGCATGCATCTTTATTCTTAGCAAAACTTATGGATGAGCACTCCAATTATGTCAAGGTGATAATAAAGAAGAATATTTAAAGGAGAATATAATTTATTGACATTTATAAGATTTATCAATCACTCACGTTCAATGTTTAATATATATCCACAAATCACAAAATTCCTGAGAAGTCTCTTGTGGACAACCTTGGATACATAACATAACTTTTATCTGCTACTCTTTCTAAAGGGTCGCGATATTTTTTATGCTTACAATGAAAAAAGACTCAATTCATTTTTTGTACAAAATGTTGTCGTATCTAAACATATTACCATGAAACTAATGCAATAAATAATGAATATCTTGCACATTCACTCAGGCATATATATATATATATAATTATATCCAAACAAGAATTTCAATTGAAACACTTTTAGCGTCAACTTTAAACTTTGTCTAAATTAATTGCTGATAAAATAAATGAAAATAGCACATATGCGTCCGACGCGCTTTTGTTGGGTTTCTCTAATCAGGAACGATCAAATCCAAATATGTGAAAGCCAAGGAAGTATAAGAACTAAAACACTTAAAGATTTTCGACCAAAAGGGGGCTAAAAATAATAACCGATCCCATATAATGTATAGACTGCCTGAAGAAGTTGGAACCTCAGTACCTTAATGATTTATATTTATAAATGGACAATTTCAGAAAGATGTGTTATAAATAGTTTTCATTTTGTATATATCAAACAAGTTTTCATTAATAGATTAGTTTATCATTTACTGTAATAGGTCAACTCTATATGGTATCTAAAATGATTGAAAGTAGAAGGTATCAGTTTGACTGGGTTCATTTGACTTTTACCTCATTTGCATGAATTATTGACCAACGTTAAGATCAGATATCCTCAATTACTCTAAACACAAAAACTTCCCGGGGGTATGTTCGCTTATTTTGCGATCGTGTTAAATGCGCGACTTGTCTATTTAAAGGCAATTATATTAATTTCAAGTACGAACTTACCATTTATGTGCGAAGTTCACTCATTCGCGAAAGGTTTAGTCATCTAAATTGTGAAAAATTCCACGTTAACAATACTGTGTTTGTTGCATAGTTTGCGGTAAGGTGTACATGTTCGTAAGACAGAATTAATCTGAGCTCAACCAAATTTTCATAGATCCTTGATCATGTTGATATTTTGTGATACCTATGTGGTAAGACCTTAATCTCAAAGACTTCGAAAACAATGTTCAGTCCTAATCATTACGTTAAAGCAAGAAATTTCAGCGTTTCCACTCTTGTGTCAGATATGAACATACTAAAAACTTTAAATAGAATATACTTATTTTTAAATGTATGTCATTAAGTGAATGGTCTTTACAATATATACAGTAAAGACACGCAAATTGCAATTCTACTGAAGTGACCAAATGTCTTTTATTACTGGGTAAGTTACAGTTATATTATTATTTTAAATTTTGAAGTATATATTGTTTTGACTTTGCATTATGCTACCTCAAGCAAAATTTCAATTTTATATCTCAATTCAAGGTGCAGAAGCTGCCGATAGAAGAGATGAAAGATCAGTTGAACTTAAAGAGCAATCTAATAATATAACTGGTGCTACAGGATCTGAAAAGACATTTAGACAAGGTGATTATCCTACTACTAAATCATGGAAGTGGATATAACAACCAATAAAAAACAATATATCCCTCAAATAAATTTACTCAAAGAATTACTCACAAAAAACTCAGCTACCTTATAACCTATTAATGAAAATTTAAAAAATGAAAGAATTTGCGTCAATTTACTGGACTTTTCTGGAAAGGTTGTTTAAAGGGGTCACTTGAATACGGCAAATTAAATTTGTTGAAGTGTGTTTAATTTTTTCCCCTTTCAGTACATTTCATCACTAACATGAAACAAACTTCTGTCGCACACAGGAAAAAATATAGCAGAATTTATAAACAGAAAATAAGATAAATAACTGTATATTTCTGAAAAGGATTGTGTTTTGTTCAACACTAATTACGTCTGTTCCAAATAAAATATGTTATATGGAAATAGCAATTAAGTGTTGGATATTTTCAAAAAGCTGATATCTAAAATTTATGTAGAGTGGACATTCAAAGACAAAAATGGATCGAATCGTCTAATGGACACCCACAAGCACAACTTGGGTCGTTTACTATTATAATATTAATTCTGTATAAATCAGCTTTTATGGGAGTACATATGTGTCGATCGTAATTGTGTATGCAATATGTTTTCTCTCCTAGTTCCAGCAAGGTAATATTTAGGTACCAAACTGAATGAAATGTCATTTCTCCGGATAGTATTTTTTCAAATTTGGAGGTTATTGAATGGATTTTATATCTAACTAATTAATGCATTGTATTTTAGATGGATATGCATACGATATATTAGTTCTGCATTCAGAACATGATGAAGAGCATGTTGATGTAATGATGAAAATGATAAAAGAAAAGGTAGCTCTGCCTGATATAAAGATTGCCTCTGTTGGGGAAGATATACCCCCAGGAGCAAATGTATTTGAAGCATTCCATGACCTGATGGACGCTAGCTGCTCTTTGTTGCTTTTTATCACTCCACATTTTTATACTGACTGCTTGAGCAAATTTAGATTGCAAACTCAATTAGCCCATAAAATGGAAGACGAACCATGCGTAATCCCTGTTCTATTTGGGGAGGAGAAAATAAGAAAGGATCTGAGGGACATCGGACATATCCAGTCACTTATATTTTTTAAAGAAAAAGATGGCGATAAATATAAATCGTTTATTCGAAAAATTACTCGCGCAATACAACAATATAGAACGAAAGGAAATAAGTAAGGGTGAATAAGTAAACAAATCAAGATCATATGACTTCAGACAATGATGTTCCAAAACATAGGTTATGTCAAAGCTACTACAACTACTTTCATAGTTCTAACTCACTACATTTGTTGCTGGATAGTCGAGTAATTTGTTGACAGATAAATGCGCATTACTACAACCAGTGATAACCACTACCAAAGGAAGGGTTTGAAACAATTTAGTCTGGGATCCTGACACAATATTCTTTATACCGTAAGCGGACTTCTTTGTCGAATATATTTACTATTATGTATTTCAAAATTGATATCCTGGAAAAATTTTCAGAAGGATTTTTGAATAACTAATTTGTATTCATTATATTATTAATATCATCATTATTTTTGAGAATACATTTTGAAACATATCACGCAAACAGGCCTAAAGAACTGATATTTTTGTTGAGTACTTTAAATTCGTAGTTTACCTTTTCACAAAAAATTTATTAGGGGATCTTGTTGCCCTATCTTAGTTTTCTATTTGTTTTATGGACTGTTGCCCCAACGCTCCTTGGTAAATTCCTATTTTTGTCGAGCCTGCAAAATTTATGTCACGCGGAAGCGGTACATAGTGATCCTGGATTATGTCGTCGTCATCGTTAACATTTAGGTTAAGTCTGTGGTGAAAGATTTTTTTTAGACATCAATAACATTGTCAAACGTTCGTTGAATTTTATGAAATTCTGACAGAAACTTTCTTGTAACAAAAAATCAGTAAACAGAGTAAAATTTTGAAAATGTTGTTTTTCATTTTTCCGTATTTTATTGATAGTTGTGCCTGGTTTTCTACAGTTAAAATTTACAAACAGTCTAAGGTTAAAGTTTTTCAGTCATCAATAACTTTGTCAAACCTTCGTGGAATTTTACGTTAATTGAACCGGTGCTTTTTATGATCAAAAGACATATATTTTTTTTTCTTCATTTTCCGTATTGTACTGATTAATGGACTTTTTTTGTACTTTACATGTAGATATGTGAGCCAAAATTTGTTCCTGTGAAAAAAGTTCCAGTGGAAATATGTTCTGGGAGAACTTTTTTCACAGGTAATTTCTATATAATTTGTTCCAACTCTATAAAATAAGTTCCACACTTTACCTGGTGAAATAAGTACCGGGTTGGTGAAATTTGTTCCTTACCTAGTGAAATAAGTTCCAGGTTTATGAGATTTGTTCCTTACCTGGTGAAATAAGTTCTGAGTTTGTGAGATTTGTTCCTCACCTGGTGAAATAAGTTCCTTGTCTGTGAAATATGTTCCACTGGTTAAACAAGTTATCTTATATACTGAGCATTTGTCATCAGTGAGTTTAAAGTTATCATTCAAGTGCATTATAAAAATAAGTATTATATTAATAATATAATAGATAAAAAGTGTAAATCATCCAGTTTGGATCCTTTGGAGTATAGCAAATGTTTAATTATATACTCTGTAAAAAATATCTAAATGACACTTTTGAACAAGAAAAGATTAGAATAAGAAAAATCATTCAGAAAAAAAGTATAGTTTAAGAGGAACATATGTACTAATTTGAAAAGGACAAAGTGACTTGATCATTTATAAAAATCAAAAGACAGGTAGAAAAAAAAAGACACACTCTTTTGAAACTGTGCCATATCCTAAGTACATGTATGACTAGAACACTGGGCCATGACAGTTAACAGGAACCAAGGAGGAATACCGCATAAAACATAAATACAAATTATGATACATTACCATCGCTTTTATTTCTTATCTTCATCCTATAGTTACAGTCATGCCTTCAATTGCAAATGTATCCCATGCAAGTGCACTCAGTATAGCATTTAGCTTGCATTATAATATAAGTGTAACAAGAAAATGTTTCGGTGTGCAATGATGATTGAGCGGAACTTATTCATTAGTTTCTATGAAATATTTACATGTTCGTTTAAAACTAATGTCACAGGAACTTATTTAAAACTTTTTAATATTAATTGAAACAAAATTCATGGAGCTATGATTTTAGATCCGGAACTTATTTCACATTTGGCCAAAAAATTAGTTCCGGAACAAATTTTACAGTGCTGGAACATATTTTCTGTGATATAAATTCCGGTGGAACATATTTCCTATGCAATTTGTTCCGGCGGAACAAATGTCACGCCGGAACAAATTTTTTGTTACAGATACAGTCTAGTGTTAAATAAACTCATCATAGATACCAGGATTAAAATTTTGTACGCCGTACGCGCGTTTTGTATACAAAAGACTCCTCAGTGATGCTCGAATAAAAAAAGTTAAAAGTTTGTGAGAAATCAATTACTTTGTCAAACTTTCGTAGAATTTTATGAAACTTTGGCAAAAGCTTTTTTTTTATAATTAAGTGATAATGTCTGAAGCACTTTTTTAAAATAAATATTCTTTTTCATATTTAAGAAGGTTTACTGATAGGTGGACTTTGGTATTTTACAGATAACATTTACTGACAGTCTGTGATTATTTTTTTTTGACATGATAAATTTGTAAACCTTCTCTGATTGTTATGAAACTCGGACAGCAGCTAATCTTCAAGATCGAGAAATAGCATCTGAATAAAAAAGTTTGAAATCTGTATTTTACTTATAAATGGACTTACTTTTTACATTCAACACTACGTTGTTGCACTGACAGCAGCAATAGCAGGCGAGACACAGGGTTCTACGAAACCCTTTACAATTTTCTACAAAAGAGATAAATTCCATTTCATCTGAATTTCTAGAACAATGGGTTAAATTTTAAAAATCATTGCTTTCAAATCGTTTGACTAAAATTTACAAAGAAGTGCGTGTGCATTGTATTTTTTAAAGTATCTCTCCTAATTCCTTGTGTCCTTGTGGAATGGTTTTTATATTTGCTAATGTATGTTATTTGTAAATTATTTAATCAATAGCATTATTTTCCATAATAAATCTTACTTCAACACATGTAATGAGAATAAAAATGGCTAATTATATACTCGTTTGGAGTCTTTTTCCTGTAGTAAAATATAAAATGGTGATTGGTGAAGGCTTAATGTGCAGCGACAAATATTAAATGCATATTAAAGTAAAAGGTTACACATTAAAGTGTTTTTCCTGTACTGATTTTTTGTTTGTATCTACTTAATCGATCTGCGAGATTTAAACATCGATTATCTACTGTCACCTTAATTGATGGAGTCTTACTTTTTCGTTCATACTACTTTCATAACAGAATCAGAAAACCTAGTAAAGATTCAAGACGAAAATTCATTAGAGATAGTCTACCTAGGTTGAAACACACTTATATATGCACTTATATAGTATATGTTTTACCTTTTCTTAATATGAAGCATTCGATGTTGAATTTTTGTTTGTAATATTTTGCTTTTCGCTTTTTTAAATGATAGCATTCATCAACGTTAAAACATATGATTTCAATATTGTAGTTTTAAAAAAATACCCATGATAAGATAATGTGAAGATTGGTACGAAGATTTATATAATATATGTCATTAAGACAGCAACTTAACCTTGCTTTAGGGTTTGAATGAAAAACCATTATTACTATTATCTCAAGTTATTTAGTTCCTGAAAGATGCTACATGTATTGTCTAAAAGTGAGGAGTAAACAGGGGCAAAAGATGAATACAAAAAGCATTGACTCTACCTCATTGTGGTCGTATTCTCAGATCAAATTGAAAAATTTGCTATGCTTTTTGTTAGAAATATAGTCCCAAACGTTTGAACAAAGGTAAACATTGTGAGCATAAAATTCGACTTCTTTGTAGCACAATTAACCAATCGTTAATTTTTTTCTGCAATGATAATCAATAGCTTCATATGTATTACACTCATTAGAAGAACAAAATATACATTTAAATGTGCGATAGTTGGAACCGGTTCAGTGCAATTAGGCCGAAGGTGTTCCACAGTTGTTTCCCAAAGGAATGATATTATATCCCTGATTACAGGTTAACCTATAACAAAAAAAACTGTTTTCACGCTTTAATTATCTGCGCGCAAATCGTCGAGTTGCAAAGATGGAAGATAGCGTAGAGAACACTGCGCGTTTCACATATTCGCTACTACAATCATAATGAACATTGTTCTATTCTACAAATTCGATAGACAGGCGTTTTACCTGAATACATTGGAACACGATCAATCTCAAAGTTAGGTAGAAAATCGGTTCTTGTTGACATTAGTGGCTCGTGGATTGATTTGTTGCTTGCATAAAATTATTGTCCATGGCAAAAAGATCACGAGAATAAATAAAAAATAAACCAAAAACATTTGTAGGAAGGTTCAGCAGCATGGGTCAAGTAGGATAAAGGTCGAGAAAGTTTAGACTGCCTCTAGAAAATGAGTGTTTGATTAATAGGGCAAAAATTCGGTCTCGCAACAGGCAACCTATTAACCTTCCAAAAAGAGGTTTTGCCAGAGTACGTTCTATCATGTGCAAAACATTTGTGCACTAAAAGTATGACAATTTCCTTGCATGGGATTGGGGTTTAGCATCCCAATTACGACCACACGTAGCTGTGAAGGCACAGATCCAGTCATTTTGAAAAGGGCCCAACCACAGGAACATCGCATGGTTCCGTACATGCTGTGTACGAACATTTGAAACAGGCAAAAAAGTGCCCCTCTTTATCATGTATTTTACTGCCGGATTACATTAGTGTATCTTCAATTACAATATATTTATATATGTAACTTTATCACAAACAAAATAAACATCTGCAGAAACAATACAGTGAACAACAAAATTATTACCACTGATACCACAACTGAGGCTATTGGAGTAAATCCGAGGATAAATATTATAATTATTTAGAAAAACACAAGTTTCCTTCCTTGTAACATATCGATAAAAATGTATTTAAACTATGTAGAACATAAAATTCATAGAATGACTTATTGTTTGTTCGTGCCTTATCTAAAAGACTGATTCTTACCGTATATCCGGTTTACACCGAAAATGCATGTGTTGCATATATCCAAGTCATTACTGATAACTAGAAATTCAAATTTCTCAAACGCAGATAAACAGAAAAAGATGGAATTACAGGAATAATGTTTCTAAAAATTCTTCTTTATACTTCTATCGTTAGTACATGTAATAATAAAATGAAATTCATCTTCAACCCCCCAATTTCATTAATTACAAATCCTCTCCTCTACCGGGCCTCCTTCAATTCAAAGATTACTATTGCTTATATGTATTTTCACATTTTTTGTCATACGTCAATACCTGTGAACAAATACTTTTTTTTATATAAAATTTGTTTTGAAATTATGATTAGTTCTCAACTACTCCCTTACCCCCATATATTTTATCATCATTACTTATATAGTAAATACTCACATATGGCATGGTATTGGTTGCAAAAAATTGATATTTTTCATTTAAATGCAACATTTCTTATTTAATTGGTATATTTTTTATTTGAATGGTATATTTTTTTCATTTAAATGCAATATTTTTTATTCAAATGGTATAATTTTTCATTCAAATGGTATAATTTTTCATTTAAATGGTATAATTTTTCATTCAAATGGTATAATTTTTCATTTAAATGGTATAATTTTCATTCAAATGCAATAGTTTTTATTCAATGGGTATAAAATATCATTTGAATGCAATATTTTTTATTCAATTGGTATACTAATTTTTTATTTATATGCAATAATTGCATTAGGGGAAATTCTTTGACGTCATAAGGTCAAATTTGCAACAACGTTTGTGATTGGTCGGAAATTGTTTGGATTTCTCCCCTTTCTTTCTAAACACGGGTGACCAAGAATTAAAAAACGCGTCAGAATATCGCCCCTCTAACTAAATCTAACATTCGTGCGAGTCCTGCACTGGCTGTTAAAATCTTGTGGCATAACTAGTATTTCTATTGCAAAATTTCGATGGTCAAAACGTTCGGTCCACTTTTCAAAAACCGTTTCATTGTATATGGATTTATATGCAAGTATATCGTTTTTTTTTAAATAGATTATATTTTTTGTGTGTCTCGTACCGATCTTTTGAGTTAATTCACTGATTTGTGCAGGTTGTTATTTTATTGTACTGTTACACCACTGTCCCAGCTTCGGGATGGGTTGCTCACAAACATGTTGTTGTACTGTTACACCGCTGTCCCAGATTAGGGAGAGGATTGGGATCCCGCTAACATGTTTAACCCCGCCACATTCTGTATGTATGTGCTTGTCCCAAGTCAGGAGCCTGTAATTCAGTGGTTGCCGTTTGTTGCTTTGTTATACATATTTGTTTTTCGTTCATTTTTTTGTACATTAATTCGGCCGTTAGTTTTCTCGATTGAATTGTTTTACATTTTTGATTTCGGGGCCTTTTATAGCTGACTATGCGGTGTAGGCTTTGCTTATTGTCGAAGGCCGTATGGTAACTTATAGCTGTTGATTTCTGTGTCATTTGATCTCTTGTGGAGAGTTGTCTCATTTGCAATCATACCACATCTTCATTTCTATATCCACTCTGCCATATTCTTTATTTGCCTGTCCCAGGGATGGAGCCTGTAGTTTAGTGGTTGTCGTTGGTTCCTGTCTCGACTCATATTTGATATTTTGTAAATTGTTTTGTTATGTATAATTAGGCTGTTAGTTTTTTCGTTTGAATTGTTCACACTTTTCATGTCGGGCCTTTTATAGACGACTTTACAGTATCAGGTTTTTGTCATTGTTGAATGCCTTACGATTGTCTACAAAAAACATTTGTCTACATGACGGCAAAAAGCTCTACAGAGCTTATGTTTGTAGTATTTCATGCAACCCGACTTAAAATAAATTTTTCTTATCTTATCTTATCTCATCTATAATTGCTTACATCCACTTCATATTTGAACTCCGGTGGATATATAGTTGCCTTATTAGCAATCATATTCCATCTCTTCGTTTTTATATTATATACGTGACTTCTAAACTCGTGTTTTCCTGAACAAGAATGAAATAATTTCCACTGGGCGTTAAAATTAGCAACAAACAATCAATCAATTTAAACTTGTGTTAAATAAGAGGAAAACCATTTGATATTTATTTATTTGTTGGGGTGGGGCACAGAAGGATTTCATATATGAATATGGTTGCCTGGTAAGAGCTGGAAAATAGGCATGATTAGCGACAGATTGAAATGAATAATAATGCCCTCTCTTCCCTTCCCTAACCTTTATCTATAAATTTAAACTGACCACCACGGAATAGCCCAATAGTGTTGAAAGTAGCGTTAAACACCAATCAATCAAAATCCCCTCCCTAGAATATCAAATAATCGTCCCATAACTGTTATTGTCCGTGTAGTTCTTATATTTATCCAGCTTATCGTCCTACAGGGATGTCCTACTAAGGCTGTCATACCATACAAACGTTTATAAAACGGCAGCTCACATTCTAATATATCTGCATTCATAAATTTATTAATTTCATTTAGACTAAACGACGCCATGTTTGTTATGTGCCTCTGTCGTCAACCTATCAAAAAAGAAGAGGTGGAAGAGAGCCAAAAGATCTTCCCAATGCAAAAAAAAAAAAACAGAAATGGACTTTTTCTGGCTCACTTCCGAAGAACAAAAAAAAAAAACGCACCCCATTGATATGTTTTAAAAACGCCTTGCCCCTACTCTTTTTTCCAAAAAAAATGGCATTATTAAATATATAAACATATATATAATCATCAAAATTAAAATGCTATTGTATTTTTATAAGACCTACTTTATTACATGACCTGGGACTAATGACATCTATCTATAAGTCCTAGCATACATTAATTATTATAATATGAATATGTTTCTTGTTTTAATAACCACATATGATGCTATGCATGAGTCACCATTTATCAGGACATGAATTGGGTTTACATAGAGAATCAATTTTTCCCAAATTAAGTAAAGAGGGGGGGGGGGGGGGGGGGGGGGGGGGTAGGGGGTCAGTGAAAAAAAACTATATGAATTAAGTTTTTTTTTTATCCT